CTTCTTATGTAGTTTTTAGTGCCATCGTATGTGAATTTTTATCTACACCACTAATTATTATTTATTATTGTTTTATGTTGTTTTGTTATGAAATAAATTGGATGTAAGTACCCGCCTGCTTTTTTTTTCTTTTGATAAACTATATGATACTCTTTCAATGATTTCATTTTCAAATTTCAATAAGTTCAAATCTATGAGGCAACCTCTTCAGGATGATTTTTATTTGTTCTGATTGTTTTTAAAATTGAATCGATAGAGCATTCAAGTATAGTAACTCCAAAAGACATAACAATTCAGTTACAAATTAATTAATATCCTAAAATAAAATATTTCGGCATATTACTTATATTTTCTTCAGATAGAGAAATAATCTCATAATTACTTCTCCACTCGAAGAAGTCATATCTATCTCTGCTATATGTCGAAATATTTATTATTGTCATACATTAAAACATTTTGTAATTCAACTGTTGTGTTATTTTTTGATTTTTTTCTGAAATACAGTAGGTAGTAGTCGACCTAGTTCGATTGAAAGTAATTAAGTATTTAACTAAACCAATATTATCTTTATTTTGTTTTATATAAGGCTTTTGTAAAAGTGTACATAAGTAGTATACATTTAAAATTAAGCAACTTCGATTATTTACGAAAAATAAAATATGTCTCAAATATTTACAAATGCAAACCAGATACGATTTCGATTTCAATAGAGTGACAGTGAATTGGAAGTTTCATCTGTAATAACATTACTCTCAATCTAGGACGGTCTCTATACACTTGAACTTTAAACGACTTGTGGCTAATTATCGTAATGAGTTTGCCTAGCATTACCATACAATCAATAAAAAATCAAACTTTAATTCCATAAGCATAAACAACAACATACAGCGCGTATCAGCAAGTAATATTAAGTAGAAGCAGGGAGATTTTCTCAATAACTATCCAAAATTACCGAAAGCAGAAAAAATAAAATACTTTTTAAAATTAGTTTAAAATAGTACAAAAACTGCGAAATTATTTTACTATGATTAATCACAATTTTAGATAACCTTTTCGTTACATTAAATGAGTAAATCACACCCTCGCTGAGAGTCGAATCCGGAACCTTTGGCAGGGTGTGATAGCAGAAACAGTTTCTCCTCATTGAGATGATATGTAGAAGAAGATTAAGAAAATAATTTCTTCATGTTCTTCATCATCATCATAAGGTCGTCAGTCCTAAGACTGGCTGGACACGCACCTCCACTCCTTTTTATCCTGAGCTAATATTGGCATTTCCCTAAAACTAGAACAACCCACATCCTTAACTATTTGCAAACAGTAATCTAATCTAGGTCTACCTCTATCTCTCGTAACTCCCGTTTTTGCCTCTAATATGTCTCTGACTAGACCTTCATTCCTGAGGTGTCCAACTTAACGTATCTCGCTTATTTCGTATTGACTTCCATAGAGTCCTCTGTTTAAAGGTACCGGGTTCGATTCCCGGCGAGGGTTTGACAGCAGCAAGAATTTTTTCTCGTTGAGATAACATGTAGAGGATAGAATATTAATTCAATAACTAATGATGTTAAGTTTTGTGTTTAACAGTGACTTCAGTTCACCTCTTATCGTCCTATACAGTAGTTAATAGGTCTTAAATTACTTTGAAAAGTAATCTAATTCGTGCCAGATACAGAAGCAATATTGTATGTCAGTATCCAATTGCACTTTACATACGTATTAATAGGTACCTATATATTTTATTGTCCATAATATTGTTACAATTAGTAAAGATGTTATACAGTTTACGTAATTACCTATATTGATCAAAAATAAATATAAATTAGAATTGTTAAGTGCTGTTAACAGAAATATACCTAAAATATATACGTTTCGTCCTAAATCAGAAGATAAGAATGTAAACTCTACAAGGGAAAGTGCATGGGTCGATTAAGATAATGAAACAAATAAAACTCAGATAAAGGGTTTTTACTGTTAATTATTACTATTAACCGATTGTTGTTTATAAACAACTGCAACTATAATAAAGCACTTACTGATAACAGTTTGACGACCTTCGTACGGAAATTTTGCATCAAACTGAATGCACCAAATATTTTAATACTTCATTTGCAACAATTGTTCTTGTAGTTAGAAGCCTTCACCGTCAATTACAAAAATTGACAATAATTGAGCCCATTTGTTAGATCAAAGCAAACAGTATACTCGAAAAAAAACGTGTTTACACAGTAATTAATATTTTATTAGCAATGATTGTGACAATGATAACGGTTAATTTGGATCATCAGTGCAAGTGAAATCATGTTAAAAAAATTAAAACAATAGTGAACATTAGTACGGGAGACTGTTGCTGTTGGAAAATGTTTGAGGAGATATTTTAAATTATTCTTAAGTAACATAAATTTGTATATTTATATACACTAAGTGCTCAGAGCATTGCCGCGTGAAGCCAAAGGTCCCGGGTTCGATTCCCGGCGGGGGGTGACAACAGCAACAATTTTTCCTTCATTAATTTGAAGTAGTTTGTAGTGGGTAAAAATTTAGAAATGAATTTTCAGAATAACATGTCATATTTAACATATTATTTTTTTTCGCCTAAAAATGTATAATCAATTCCTTATACAATCAAAGTTATCTAACTCAAACCTCTCAAATGGTATCACTTATGTTATACTGACAAAAAANTTAATAGTAAAAATAAATCAAATACACTCATGTTCAGATGCGCGGTATTTACTTACAAAACTCTTCACAAACATGATGTATTGACCCAAAACTACTTTAACCAATTTAACGTAATAACTTCTGTGTGTTATTTTTAAATTACGTTATGCATAAATAGGAAAAAAAGGAAAAAATACCAGAAGATAATTGAAGCAAAAATTACTAAGGCGGCACTTTGCTAAAGAACCGAAAGATAACAAAAAACAATTTACCTCGAGATATTCAGTCAGGCGTTTTTGAACTTTCTTGATAAGAGAGAGTTCGAAGCTCTCTAACAATAATAGAATAAGCACTTAACAAGCACCACGTAAAATTTATTTCAGTAATTTAAATATTTTCGATGGTGCTTGCCGATAAAATATTTATGAAAACAATTTTTGATGTTACACTTCTTTCGACTCGTTGAGAGTAATATGAAATAGTGAAGAAAATGGTAAAGGGCCATATTGATCTATATAAGATGCACAATGTATTTAAAAGTAGTTAATTGGATAAGGATTAATGCTGTATTGCTTAAAATCGCTTCGTAAATAAGCCATTATTTCTCGTAAAAAGTAAAGGATAAAAAATGGTTATTGTGGGTTATCCCTAAGAGATAGACATATACCATCGCGGACTTTTTTGTAGACCTTTTTAAGGTGTACAATACTGTAGTATATTATTTTGATCTATCTCGTAGGGTTCAGCCAGCGTTTGCAATGTAAGCGCAAAAAATGTGTTTATTTACGACATCACATTAGAAACCTCTAAAATTATCAGTGTTTCTCTACTATATTATGCATGTATTATACATATAAATCTTCCTCTTGAATTACTCTATCTATTAAAAAAAAACGCATTAAAATCCGTTGCGTAATTTTAAAGATCTTAGCATACATATGGACAGACAGCGTGAATATGAGGATGTTTTTTTCTGCAAAAAGTGTTTTTTTAGTTTAGAATGATTTTGCAGTTCACTGAATTATCATTGAATATGGGCAGGATTATTTCAGTCAAGCTGATCATGAAAGGATTAACAAATATTTGTAAATTTTGTTTTTCACTTTCGATGTCCTGAAATTTACTCTCAAAAGAAGTATCTAATTTTAGTTTCGTAGTACTTTACAGTTTATGATGCCAATTTTAAGATTCTTTGTCAAATTGGAAAAAAATTTTGAAACTGGTTCACGCGGGCCATTTATAATTCACAATACATTACACACTGTGACCCGCGGGTCTGAGGTTGGTCAGACTTGCTTTGAAGGGTAATCCTGATGTATGTATTTTATTGTAAAATTATTTGACTGGAGTCACATCATTGAACTCTTTTTTTTTTATTTAAATTAGGAAACATCTTCATTTGCGGTGATAATAATGCAGTGGTTCTTTTATTTGTTTTTTTTTCTTCTTTATGCCAAAAGAGATTGATTTAAAAAGTTTTTGGTGTTATATGCTATGAATATCAAACGTAACTCCTCAAAGCGAACTTTTTTCCAAAATATGTATGTATTGCTATTCGGAATGTATTCCCAATGGAGTTAAGTTTGTGGAAGGATCTGCCAGCAAAAAACGCTGTTGCCCGGGGGACGCCCGAACGTACTTGATTGTGAGATAGGTACGTTCTTCTGGGAGGCTCCTTCCATGTCCCCCATAGATTATAAAAATTTATTCTTTAACTAGCTGAAGGCCGCAAGAAATACTTTAATAACTTAATAATAAACAGGAAGAGATAGAAACCAAAAATCTAAGTAATAACATCGAGAACAATTGATCAAAATCTATCCAGTAGTTTTTGCGTGAATCGGGTCCATCAGCGACATACTCTAACTAATATTATAAATGCAAATGTGAGTTTGTTTGTCTATTACCATTTCACAGCTTAACAACTCAATCGATCATCATAAAATTTTGTACACTTATTATCAGGAGTACAGAAAAGAACATAGGCTACCTTATATACAGAAAAAAAATACTGTTCCCGAGGGACAGAAAAATTTCTTTTCGTCCCGATAAAAAAGGACTGTAACTGTCATTATAGGGAAAGTATACGCTTAACCTAAAAAATTATAAACTTTAGCTTTATCCTGATGATACTGGTCAGGATTATTTATCAAATTGTTGTATTATTGACGAAGTTTGACGTGTATTTAGAATATATACGCGAGCGAAGCTTGTGTAGATATAAATCCAATTTATAATCGATCATTATTAATTGGAAATTATCATGGTAATTTAATTCGTTAGCGGATTACGTTCAAGCCATATCGGTTCATTATAATTTTATTGCTTAATTTTAGGATAAATCTTTTTGGTAGTACAGATTGCACCCTTCATAGCCGTGACATCCATCAAACTAAATCGCCAGATCAAAGGGAATGTTCCGGTTTTAATGGTACGGTCTCTCATAAATATCTCCATCCAACCGAAGCCGTTCTATACACGGGCTCTCCAACCATGCATGACAATCGTTTGGTTTGGGCCGCATTAACGCCTAGAGGCACACAACATTTTATTTCCGAAAGTTATCCAAAAAATCTCATCAATTATGTGGAAAACGATGTCCATTACGAAGCTGTGGATAATTTAACAGCCCATCCGTTACAATCACCGACTTACGATGATTACCAAAAAGGTAAGCTAATCAGGGCGGTCCATATTAGAGATATCTCCAATTGGGAATGATACCTTTAATGCAGTGGTTCCTAACCTTTTTAATATTGTTACCCCTGTGACCTATTCGGAAAACTGATTTAACCCGACCTTAAAATGTCATCAATACAAACAACACAAGCAAATACAAATATCTTTAACAGTCCCAAATTGCACATCAGTCTTACAATTTTATATGCCTAAACAATAAATTAAATAAAAATTGTTAGTGTAATGGTTGGTATTATTTTGCATTTAGTTTTTTTATGTTAACTTTAATTTCGCTTGTACCACATTTAGAAGGATTCTGGTCTTTGTCTTCAGTGTAACCACAGTTGAAAATCCACTCTCACATCTATAGGTGGTGGCAAAGGGTATTGACATTTTTAAAGCTCTGTTAGCTAGAGCAGGAAATTCGGCACGAGCTTTTCGCCAAAATCTGCTAAGATCATAATTTTGAAATTCTACTCTGCAAGTAGTATTCTGGTGTGGTCCAAGATATTCCACTTTGGCCGCCAGGTCTTCGTCTTTAATAATGTTATCATCCGTAATAAGTGGTCTTAATATTCAAGAACTGGACTGACGATTATCCATCATCATCATCATCATCATAAGGTCGTCAGTCCTAAGACTGGTTGGACACGTACCTCCACTCTTTCCTATCCTGAGCTAAACCTCGCATTACCCTAAAACTAGAACAGCCCACATCATTAACTATTTGCGAACAGTAATCTAATCTAGGTCTACCTCTACCCCTCCTAACTCCTGTTTCTGCCTCTAATATGTCTCTGACCAGACCTTCATGCCNGGCATATTACTTATATTTTCTTCAGATAGAGAAATAATCTCATAATTACTTCTCCACTCGAAGAAGTCATATCTATCTCTGCTATATGTCGAAATATTTATTATTGTCATACATTAAAACATTTTGTAATTCAACTGTTGTGTTATTTTTTGATTTTTTTCTGAAATACAGTAGGTAGTAGTCGACCTAGTTCGATTGAAAGTAATTAAGTATTTAACTAAACCAATATTATCTTTATTTTGTTTTATATAAGGCTTTTGTAAAAGTGTACATAAGTAGTATACATTTAAAATTAAGCAACTTCGATTATTTACGAAAAATAAAATATGTCTCAAATATTTACAAATGCAAACCAGATACGATTTCGATTTCAATAGAGTGACAGTGAATTGGAAGTTTCATCTGTAATAACATTACTCTCAATCTAGGACGGTCTCTATACACTTGAACTTTAAACGACTTGTGGCTAATTATCGTAATGAGTTTGCCTAGCATTACCATACAATCAATAAAAAATCAAACTTTAATTCCATAAGCATAAACAACAACATACAGCGCGTATCAGCAAGTAATATTAAGTAGAAGCAGGGAGATTTTCTCAATAACTATCCAAAATTACCGAAAGCAGAAAAAATAAAATACTTTTTAAAATTAGTTTAAAATAGTACAAAAACTGCGAAATTATTTTACTATGATTAATCACAATTTTAGATAACCTTTTCGTTACATTAAATGAGTAAATCACACCCTCGCTGAGAGTCGAATCCGGAACCTTTGGCAGGGTGTGATAGCAGAAACAGTTTCTCCTCATTGAGATGATATGTAGAAGAAGATTAAGAAAATAATTTCTTCATGTTCTTCATCATCATCATAAGGTCGTCAGTCCTAAGACTGGCTGGACACGCACCTCCACTCCTTTTTATCCTGAGCTAATATTGGCATTTCCCTAAAACTAGAACAACCCACATCCTTAACTATTTGCAAACAGTAATCTAATCTAGGTCTACCTCTATCTCTCGTAACTCCCGTTTTTGCCTCTAATATGTCTCTGACTAGACCTTCATGCCTGAGGTGTCCAACTTAACGTATCTCGCTTATTTCGTATTGACTTCCATAGAGTCCTCTGTTTAAAGGTACCGGGTTCGATTCCCGGCGAGGGTTTGACAGCAGCAAGAATTTTTTCTCGTTGAGATAACATGTAGAGGATAGAATATTAATTCAATAACTAATGATGTTAAGTTTTGTGTTTAACAGTGACTTCAGTTCACCTCTTATCGTCCTATACAGTAGTTAATAGGTCTTAAATTACTTTGAAAAGTAATCTAATTCGTGCCAGATACAGAAGCAATATTGTATGTCAGTATCCAATTGCACTTTACATACGTATTAATAGGTACCTATATATTTTATTGTCCATAATATTGTTACAATTAGTAAAGATGTTATACAGTTTACGTAATTACCTATATTGATCAAAAATAAATATAAATTAAAATTGTTAAGTGCTGTTAACAGAAATATACCTAAAATATATACGTTTCGTCCTAAATCAGAAGATAGGAATGCAAACTCTACAAGGGAAAGTGCATGGGTCGATTACGATAATGAAACAAATAAAACTCAGATAAAGGGTTTTTACTGTTAATTATTACTATTAACCGATTCTTGTTTATAAACAACTGCAACTATAATAAAGCACTTACTGATAACAGTTTGACGACCTTCGTACGGAAATTTTGCATCAAACTGAATGCACCAAATATTTTAATACTTCATTTGCAACAATTGTTCTTCTCGTTAGAAGCCTTCACCGTCAATTACAAAAATTGACAATAATTGAGCCCATTTGTTAGATCAAAGCAAACAGTATACTCGAAAAAAAAAACGTGTTTACACAGTAATTAATATTTTATTAGCAATGATTGTGACAATGATAACGGTTAATTTGGATCATCAGTGCAAGTGAAATCATGTTAAAAAAATTAAAACAATAGTGAACATTAGTACGGGAGACTGTTGCTGTTGGAAAATGTTTGAGGAGATATTTTAAATTATTCTTAAGTAACATAAATTTGTATATTTATATACACTAAGTGCTCAGAGCATTGCCGCGTGAAGCCAAAGGTCCCGGGTTCGATTCCCGGCGGGGGGTGACAACAGCAACAATTTTTCCTTCATTAATTTGAAGTAGTTTGTAGTGGGTAAAAATTTAGAAATGAATTTTCAGAATAACATGTCATATTTAACATATTATTTTTTTTCGCCTAAAAATGTATAATCAATTCCTTATACAATCAAAGTTATCTAACTCAAACCTCTCAAATGGTATCACTTATGTTATACTGACAAAAAATTACAATTAAGGAAAATTTTTGGTTTATTGCCCGACATTTTAAATTTTTATTTCGAAGATATCGCTTTTACCGATATTGCTATTGTTATGACCTCCTCTAAAAACCCCTACTTACAATCTTGGTTCAATGATGTCAGACAATGTGAATACTTCGCCCGTGTTGTCTTTTCCTACCATAACCTAATGAATCTGACTTAACAACTCTTTGAAATTGTTTACAGCTGCACTTGATTTTTCTGATAATGTATGAACGTTCAAATTGTCCACAAAATAACAATTACTTATGTATGTCACCATTAAGGCAGATAAAAGGTAAGAAAAAGTATTGAATCGGCTGGGAATCGAACCCAGATCCAAACATGTCCGAATACATACGAAAAGTTGAAGTTAATTCATTTTTACAATGTACATTATTTGATAAAGTAAATTGGTCAAATGTAGACCACATGCGTAATTAGTATTAATAAAACAAGGGTGGCTAAATCAAACATAAACTTTTAAGGAATCATTTATTGTAAAATTAGATACAAAACTATGCTTTGGTAACAATTATTTTCAACAGTAATGTACATAGTGCCTTTAAAAATACTCATCGTTACCCTCTATCTAATATAGTAAATAACAATAAGCAACAATGTCAACATTAACAACATTTGTTTTTTTATTATCGTTCTTTATAAAATTCAATGGTTTACTTATATTAAAAATATCTACTTTACCTAAATCTAGTTTTGTTTATTATTAATTCAAGTACTTACTCAGAAATGGCACGAAATTTTCGTAGGTTTTAACACCTTAATTAAGAAGTGAGTGATGCTTGATTTATACTTACTTATGTAAATAACTGATAAAATTCCCTGATTTTTTTAAATAATAAATTTGTTGTCTCTTCTATTGTAAAATAAATGGAATTAGGGTTCAGTTATTCGACAGTGACCATTTAACTCTTCTAAAACAAAAAATTGGTATTAATAAAAAAAAAGTGGTTACGACTTAAAAACAAATTTTCTAAAATGGCTCATACTATATGTATAACATTCAAAATATATGTTGCCGGCCAAATAATTTCAGTAATATTTAATTTATTTCTTTTTAATATTGTATACCTCTAAATAGAGCGCCGTACGGGTGCGAAATGAGGACGGTGGGCGAGGCAGAAAAGAAAAGGTTAGAAACGTTCGAAATGTGGTATTACAGGAGAATGATGAGGATACTGTGGATAGAGAAGGTTAAAAATGAAGAGGTATTAGAAAGAATAGGAGAACAGAGGATTCTATGGAAGTCAATAAGAAATAGGAGAGATAGGTTGGTAGGACACCTTCCCAGGCATGAAGGGTTACTTAGGAACATGACAAGCAGAAACAGGAGCTAAGAACAGTAAAGGTAGACCTAGATTGGATTGTAGTTCAGAAATAGTTAAGGATGTGGGACGTTCTAGTTTTAAGGAAATACGAAGATTAGCTCTGGATAGGAAAAAGTGGAGGTACATGTCCAACTAGTCTTAGGACTGACGATCATATAGTGATGACCTCTTAAACGCTTTGGTTATGGTTAGTTTAGGTTGTTTTAGTTTGTTTTACCTGATTTCTGAATATATTAGTTTATTAGCCACCGTAAAAGTAGCTTATTTAGTTTGGCCGGCAAGAGATTTAGGTAAAACAAGTTAATTGGTGTAGGATAGACAACACTAGATTATCCTGAAATCTGAACCCAGAACAAATCAATTTATATTAGGCAAAACGGGTTTAACCTGAATCAGGTTTTGCAAGTAACAGATTTATATTAAATCGATTTGGAGTCCTTCAAACTGGTTCATCCTACCGCTCTTCAGATAAACCAGTTCGGTATAGGTAAAACTAGTTTATCCTGAAATGGGGTTTGACCGGTAACATAGATATATGCCAAATGGGAACGATTTTTATGCAAAGTCACAAAAGGTGGTCTGGGTGCGATCCGATGTGAGATTATCTAGTTTTAGGGAAATGCGATGATTAGCTCAGGATAGGAAAGAATAGCGTTGCGTGTCGAACAAGTCTTAGGACTGACGACCTTAGGATGATTATGATGATGATACTCCATTTATCATTATTTTTATTAATATTGTATTATTGCTATATATTCATGTACTTTTCTTATCATATATTTTATATTAACGTTCCTAGCATAAACGAATAATATTACTCAAAAGATGTTTGGATTTTGCATTAATAAATAGTAAAATTTATAAATCGCAAAATTCGCAGCATTTGTCTTTTTTTAGATTTTTGGTTCTCTTCAAGAAATGGTTGGACCTATTTTACTGAAAACCTAATCAGTTTTTAGTTGTATGATTATTATTGGTCGAATGCACGTTGACATTAGTTTTTGTTCTCGAGATAATTGAGACGAAAAATAATTCCAAACGCACACAGAAATCTACTTAAAAACTGTAACATTCCACTCTACGGACTTTGAGACTTGGAGATAGGTCAAAATTTGAGATTTGCAAAATCGGATCCATTACCATATCTTCCTACTGGAAAGTCAATAAAGAACCAAATAAGTGAACATACACATGTAAAACTTTGTCGCTTCAGCCAGTCATTTTGTCTGATAATATTTTTGCTCATTCCAATACGAAATTTTCATTATTGAACTATCATCATCATACATTTCCCTACAACTACAACAACCCGCACCTTTAATTATATGTGAACATTAATATAATCGAGGTCTACCTCTACTCCTTTTAACTCCTGTTTCTGCATCCTTGTCTGTATCCCTTCGTAATATTTATTTGTCTACGTTGCTGTTCAAGCTCAAACTATGTATCATTCTTTCATCTCTGTATCTAATACCTACATTTTTAAGTATATTTTACATCTTGGCCCGAAATAACATAGCCAAAAGGTTTTTCTAAATCGACTTCCTTTTTCTATCGTTTTCGCTATTGTTACCCGTAAAACTAGAATGGACTCCCGCGTTCCCCTATTTCTACTAAACCGTAATTGGTCTTCCCCTAACAGTTCTTCCGCCCTTTTTCCCATCCTTTTCGGTACGATTCTAGTTAAGATTTTTGACGCATGGGAAGTAAAGTTATTAAACAATGAACCTGCATAAAACACTTTTAGAATTCGTTACTTTGAGTTGGATTTTGTAATATTAAATTTTAAAAGCAGTCCGATTTCTATATATAGAACGGTTGCCAAAAGAAAGCGAATGGACGTTTTGTTTTATCAATGGCTGTATGGAAGTAGTTGCGGGTAATTTTAATAATAGGAAATAAAAGTGCAACACTTGAAAAGAATGGTTTATTTTTGCCTTTTTTACCTTGTACATCAACTTTTAACAATTAAACTAGTTAAACATTCATATGATTTTAACTCAAGTACAAAATCATTGGTCGGTTTATTATAATTTTTGAAACCAATGCAAAAATTTCGCCATATCCTATGCATAAAAATGCGAAATATTGCTGTGCTGGTAATGAAAATAAATACATTCATTTTATGGATTATATTCAGAGCATATTAGAAAAAAAAAACAGAAGAATGTAGATTACCAGTTATGTACCTATTTAAAAATTAATGCTGCAATAAATAATATACAGTGTGTCTCACATAAATTGTGGTGACGAATTCTTATGAAGATCGAGTATGTGATCTGCAAATGACAAAATAGTTTTGAATTTTGAAAATTCACCAAATAGTCCTTGCTTTGAAAGAATTATTTTTAATTGCGAAAAAATTATTAAATCTTTGATTTTAATTTATGTGTTTATTTCCGGTTTTGCCAGTCATGCTTCCCAGAAGTTGGGTTATCAGCTGACCCATATTTTAAAAAACGCTGTGATTAGCTTTAAAATTCAATTTGATTAAAAATTTATATTAAACAGAAACAGTTATCAATTCGCAAATTAAAAAGATATGCTGTAAAAGTTTGTACACAATCGTTACAAAATACGTCAATTAATATCTTATCATTACAATGTAATGAAAATACAAACAAAAAAAGAGTTTTTGAGTAAGATACACTGTATAAGTACAGTCTTCTTTTGTTGATGTACAAAACGTATAAAAGACAAAATAACCATATACGCAATATATTATGTATATATATAAAGTAAACATTAGTATAAAAAAAGTATAGCAAAAATAGAGGCATGAAGAAGAATTTTTAAAGGATAATGCGTTTAATCTCAAAATTAATGTTTTGTCCACGTTCTATTTATAGATGACGTCCACATATGGCGTTTTAAATACCAAAAGTATTCCTGTAGAGAAAAATATCACAAAATTTGAGCAAAAATAGTTAATCTCCTTCAATATCACAGATGCCTTTAAAAGTGTCATGATAAATCACATTACTAAATGGAAAACAAGATTATCGGCTTAAATAAACAGTTCTTAAATCTCTTACTTACTTAGTCTTAGTTAAATTACAGCGAAATATAGTTCATGGCCAGGGGTGGGGAACTTTTTTACCATTATAGACCACCTTTAAATTAGGCAGTAATATATGATGTGAAATTATTGAAATTTTTGTATAGTTTTACCAATTGGAGAACGAATCTGTACCACTGCGATTCATAATTATTTACGTAATTCCATTAAATCCATCAAATTGTCAACATCTCTACCATTAAATATTAATTAAATAAGCTAGAGGTTTTGTTAAGCCGCACAGGAAACTCACGGAGGCCGCCATTCCCCACCGCTGGTTTATGCCTTTGAAATGCATCATAAACAAAACATGATGCAATTAACAGACACTTTCCAAAAAGCTCAAAATATCGAATAACTATAACATTTTCTGTTATAACCGTCCGCACAAGGTATACAAATCGCCGTGTGCTGTATATCGCTCGAGATCAGCCTACCTTTGCTATTGATGAGATTTTTCGCTTCGATCAGGTTCTTCTCAAATCGTTGCAAAGGTTCTTGAGTTAGATCTTCTTCGACTTTCGGCGCATCAACGTATCGTATTAAGAACAACCCAATCGATCCTATAATGCCAGGTACGCCAGCCAAAACGAAAGCGAGAATGTACGATTTGGTATTATCGAAGAAGACTCCTGCTATATACGGTCCAATCATTAAAGGAATAGAACAGAATCCTAGAAGACATCCAATGGCTTGAGCGCCACTTTTAGGCCCGCAAATGTCGATAGCGATCGAACCCAAAAGGGAAATGAAGCACCCATCGAAAAATCCCATACACAAAGCAACCGCCAACAGGCTTCCATACGATTGTATTGTAGCTGGGAACAACATGGTCAACACGCCCATGCTGAAAATGGAAAGTTGTTGCAAGAATATCCTGTCGACCTTTTTATGGTCACCGATGTAGCCGAAAATCAAACGGCCCAACAGCGAAGTGATACTGAGGCAGACAATTACAAACTGACCGTCTGAACCCGGGGGATAATATTTTTCAACGAACTTATCTACGTGAACGTAAGGAACAAAATAACCGATTAGAGAGAATGGCACGAATGTGATCCACACTAAGTATTTTTTATTCTTCCAAATTGAAACGTCGAGGACTTTCTTCCATTCGGATTTTGTTTTTTTGGGTTTTTTGTTCAGGGGTTTGAAGAGGAATGAACACGGCAAGATTATTGCGCTCAGCGCTGCAAGGACTCTTAGTGTCCACGGGAGATCATAGTTGACCAGCAACCAACGAAGAAGATGTGGCATGAACATTGTGAATACCGAACTACCTGCCGAGACGATTCCATTTGCGAGACCCACGCGCTTATCGAAATAATGTCCGAGAATTGCTAACGATGGGGTGTAAGTTAGAGCACCCCCAAGGCCGTACATTATACCGTAAGTCAGGTACAGAACGTCTACATTGTAAGCGAAAAACGAAGAAAGGAGCATGCCTCCTGACGACAGAGCCCCACCTATGAATGTCGTTCTCCTAATTCCGATACAGTCGGTGAGCATTCCCGAAATTGGGGATACTATGAATGTAGTTCCCATTGCAAGCGATCCCACCAGAGCTGGAACAAATAGAAAATGTGTAATAGTCTAGTATGAACATTCTAAATACAATAATTTTATTAGTTAGCTTAACCTAATTCAAAATTCAACTTGGTACTGAGTCAAATTTCGTCGTTTAGTTCATTTGTTTTAAATATTTGAAGCTTCCAATCTTAAAAACGGATATTTTAATTTTGAAAGGTACAATCTTTTGAGATGTAGCTTTAAAAGGTTGGATAAATAAATATTTCCGTTATCCGGACATGTTTTAAATTTTTACTATGGGAAAGGAGGATTTTCAGTATTTTTTTCTAAATTCGACGGTGCATCTTGCAAAACCACCAAAAGAAAGTCCATTTGCCGTCAGCTTTTAATACAATTTAAAATCCTAACAATGAAATAGAAAATTTACGTTTTCAGATAAATGCTACAAAGTCATAACGGGAGGATTGTACTATTATTACCGAGTGTGAATGCCTGACGTTTTTTGAACTCAAAATTTACTAATTGTAAGTGACTTCTTTACTACACACGTATATAATTATATGTGTGTAGAATGTACAGTCAAACTTTCCTAACTCGAATCCCCTAAATGCAACTAATTATGTACGAGTTAGATAAAATTCGAGTTAAAGAAAATCCTGCCTTACTGTCAAACACGAAAACATCACTTCCATGTATAGTACTGTCGTTAAGGCCACCGCTAAGAATGAGAAACAGTAAACAGTCAATAACCTTTCAAAATTAAAAGATGTAAAATTTCGATTCGAGAAATTGAAATTAAACGTTTTGAAATAAATAAATGTTAGAACTTAGAAAACATTTAGAGTAATGGCTGCTCGACTCCATTCAAATTTTAAAAAATTTACTAACTTTTTCATTACATCGATTTTATTGATCATTACACATTACAATTTTAGAAGGAAAATGGAGAATATTGTTCGATGAACCGTAATTTTTATCAATACCAGGCTTGAAATCTCTTATTACACAAAAACAAGACCTCCTACTGTTGTTAACATAATGAAAACAAAACAAAAACAGACATAATATTCATATCACTTCCTGTCTATAGATAGTCATTGTTACAACCTTGCAAGTAGATATGTATGTACATACTTAACATGATAATTGTTTACTATTGTGCATGTTTTTCATTTATTTAAGGAAATATAACGTACACATGGACGTAGCCAGCTTTTTTTTCGCATAGGCCAAGGATTACTGTAGAATTTAGGTTCCATATAACTCAAAACGTCTTAAATTCCGTAATGATAACAATATAAAATCACAAGTATATCATCATCATTATCACAAGGTCGTCAGTCCTAAGACTGGTTGGACACGTACCTCCACTCTTTCCTGTCCTGAGCTAAACTTCGCATTTTCCTAAAACTAGAACTCCCCTCCTAACTCCTGTTTCTGCCTGTAATATGTCTCTGAATAGACCATGCCTGAGAAGGTGTCCTATCAACCAATCTCGCCTATTTTTTATTGACTTTGAGTCCTCTGTTCTCCTATTCTTTCTCATACCTCTTCATTTCTAACCTTCTCTACCCACGTTATCCTCATCATTTGCCTATAACACCACATTTCGAAGGCTTCTAACCTTATCTTTTCCGCCGCGCCCACTGTCCGTGTTTCGCATCCGTACAACGCCGCGCTCCAAACATACACCTTTAACAACCTTTTTCGAATTTCTAAATTAACCGTTTGCGAGCACAGAAGTGACTTCTTTTTATTAAAGGCGACACGACCCTGCGCTATCCTCTGCTTTATATCCCTACTACTCCTTCCGTCCTGACTTATCTGACTTCCTAGATATCTAAAATCAGCCACTTCTTCTAACTTTTCGTCTCCTATCTTTACACAAGTATATAATACCATACAATTCAAAACGCTTTGTAACAGTATTATATTAAACATCTAAGAAGGAAAAGTAAATAATATCTGACCGCATGTTAATTTCCTCCCCTATTTATCATCATCTTACGGCCAGGAAAATTGAGAAAAACATCGGAAAATCTCTCGTTTTGCACAAAGTAAGAGATATTTTCTATCATTATCTGTCAACACTAAAGAAAAACGTGTTGTGTTATGTGAAGTTGAATGCTCATGATTTTACATTTTACGTTGTATGGGATTCAAATAATATTCGGGATGAACCAGCACATTGTCATTTCAATGCATTAGTTTTAGCCTATTCTCGGGTTTACATATTTCGTCGTTGTTTTATTGGCCTTAAAGTTAGTAGTAGTCATGTGGATCTATTATCTCCCGAACACTTGCAACAGAAGGAATTTGAAACAAGAACAACGCGTTGATACAAAACAAAAGCCGATGCATGTGATCTATTATTACATTAAATGACGTCAGACCAATTCAGTGTTGATAAATCCTCTTAAAATGTACAGATTATACAAAAGCAGATATACANATGGGGTAAAATATACTAAACAAGACTTGTTGATTATCTTTTGTTTGCTGTTTGTGTCAGAGGGCAAACTTATGATTAGTTATAAACACATCGGCTGTAATTATTCAACTCTCACCAAATGTAAAAATAACACAATAAAAAATTAATGCTGGTGGTTGGCGTGAAAAGTATAGTTCAAAACAAACGCCTTTGTTGCAACGAAAAATATCTAGATAAAAAATTTGATGCATCGTTTGGCAGCAGAAACAGTAATGAACAACGTAATTAATAATTCATCGTTGCGCGCATCTTTTACTAGAAAGTGAATGCATCTGAGAGTCAATGTTCGGTTTTTTGTTTAATTACTTATTATTGTTCAAATAAATGAATCAATTTGATATGAGAACATCGATCTTTTGCTTTAAAGAACTTGCAAGTGTGACTTCTTTAACATTTCTTGAAGACAGGTGAATAAAAGAAAATTTGGTTTGTTTAATGAAAACAAAAACAAATCGGTACTTTTTGAAAAAATAAAACTTCATTTTTATATATAGGTATTCACAAACTTGTGACTTAGGAGTAACAGTTTAAATGAAAGTAGGTATAGATAGAAACATTAACCAATGAAAATTTGTTTTCCTTTTCTTAATAATTAAATCTTTGCGGCTAGTTTATCTTGACAAGGCGATATGAAAGCTAATTTTTAACATTGGATTTAGATAACTGTAATGCTGATGTAGAACATCATAAATTTTAATTGAGAATAACTTCTTTGTTTCATGCCAGTTAGAAAATCAAAGATTTTATTTGTGTCTTCCAACCAAAAATCAGGTAGAAAAACAGTTTATTTCAATAAACTATAAAAATAAAACTTAAATTTAAATAAAACTAGTAATATCGGGAAACTACCGTGTTTAGTTTACATTAATCGAAAATTCATGGAAAGATAATTAAAAGACGAAATCGAAACAAACAAGAATGTCAAAAGGACAATTTTGCTGTTATCAACCGATTAGTATAAAAAATCAGAAAAATAGCCACTAAGTTTCACTCCTGCATTGGCATTACTTTTTCCCTGCAACATGTACAGTAAATGTGGGTCTCACTGTATATATTGCAACTGTACATTCATAAACAATTTGAAAATAAGTTTTAGTGTTACTTTACGAGCACTCGTGAAATATTTAGTTGCGTGTGGTACCTACACATTTAGTATCATCGAGCTGGTGCAATATCATAAGTTGGCCAGGATAGTAATATGTATTTTTACTACAAATCCTTCAAATATACATATGTGGGATATGTATAAGAATGTATCACGTCGTCTAATCGTAAAAGTAGTGTTGTAGTATCAGGTAGTAGAGTAACGTAAATAACTTTAGCCTTTATTTCAATGTACTAAATTTAAAAGCCAAGACGCCACTTAGGCGGGAACCTTTTTGCCAAAACCATCACGTTCAACTTATTCAAAAGATGCAGAACTACATAACATTCGAAGAATGTTTCTATCTCACGCTTTCGCTTTCGATTATAAGGAAGTTTATGGGATTTATTTGACTTTTGTGTTTTTTTTATTGTTTTACTTAAATTGTTAAAGCGTCCGTAAGATATCATTTTTTTTTTATGAAATTATTTTTAAAAATTTAAATATAAATATGTTTTTATAATTTACAGTGTGGAAAAATCGATTCATATGATCGAATTTTGTTTAATTTTTTTTTGTGTTATCTTCATGTGTACTACGAGGAGGTTGGTATCGTATTTAACACAACTTGTACCCTAAAAGGGGCCCATTTAAATAAACGTTTCTGTGTAGATATACCTGTGAGTGTCCCTACTTATTTTTGTTGCCATTTGAAACTTTCACAAAATCGATCTTCCTGGAATCACAAGGACCATTAGTCCGTTAGTATTTATTCCAGTCTTCCTTGTGGTAGGTAACTAAGTTAGCAAAGTTGTTAAATCTAGGATGATCTATTTTGCAAAGCATTTAAATAACAACAGAAATAAGCAGGCCTTGTATTTCTACAAAAGGAAAATAATTAAAAAATTCATAAATATGGATCGCAAACCTTAAAAGATGTCATATAAGTATCACTTTCTTATAAAAAATTAAACGAAAATCAATACGAACATTTTTAAAAGCAAGCATTTGTAGTAAAAAAAAAACTAATCTTTTAAAGCGATTAAAACGCTTTAAGATTACGACATAAAAATTTACGTGTACCTAGTCATGTTTAAAAAAAAACAGATTAAATGAACACCATAATGTGTTCAATTCGATGTGGAATACGTCGTACATACATTTTGATTAGTCTTGCCGAAACAGAACTAATTTTTATAATTACTTTCAATATTCCTTCACAGAATAATGCTGTAAGGATTTTATGTATTATGGTAAATATATATGATTTTTTATTAAATAAATGTTATGTATAAATGTCCAATAGTTTCATTCTCTTATTGTCTTTAAAAAAATGTTCTTATATAATTAGACACTGACTTCTGACTTCATATTTGAACAGATAATAAAACGTCATTTTATTCTAGAATAAGTTTTTGTAGATTTTTATTTGTTTTGAAATTGTTGTGGTCCGGAAAATCCATGTATCTATGTATGGGGTAAAATATACTAAACAAGACTTGTTGATTATCTTTTGTTTGCTGTTTGTGTCAGAGGGCAAACTTATGATTAGTTATAAACACATCGGCTGTAATTATTCAACTCTCACCAAATGTAAAAATAACACAATAAAAAATTAATGCTGGTGGTTGGCGTGAAAAGTATAGTTCAAAACAAACGCCTTTGTTGCAACGAAAAATATCTAGATAAAAAATTTGATGCATCGTTTGGCAGCAGAAACAGTAATGAACAACGTAATTAATAATTCATCGTTGCGCGCATCTTTTACTAGAAAGTGAATGCATCTGAGAGTCAATGTTCGGTTTTTTGTTTAATTACTTATTATTGTTCAAATAAATGAATCAATTTGATATGAGAACATCGATCTTTTGCTTTAAAGAACTTGCAAGTGTGACTTCTTTAACATTTCTTGAAGACAGGTGAATAAAAGAAAATTTGGTTTGTTTAATGAAAACAAAAACAAATCGGTACTTTTTGAAAAAATAAAACTTCATTTTTATATATAGGTATTCACAAACTTGTGACTTAGGAGTAACAGTTTAAATGAAAGTAGGTATAGATAGAAACATTAACCAATGAAAATTTGTTTTCCTTTTCTTAATAATTAAATCTTTGCGGCTAGTTTATCTTGACAAGGCGATATGAAAGCTAATTTTTAACATTGGATTTAGATAACTGTAATGCTGATGTAGAACATCATAAATTTTAATTGAGAATAACTTCTTTGTTTCATGCCAGTTAGAAAATCAAAGATTTTATTTTAAATCTGACTTTAATAATATCTTAAAATAATTAAAACGAGACTGATAAATTTTTGAATACTAGTAATAAAACTACACTCCACATAATCTTATTTTGCTTAGATACTATTCTTTTTATTTTAGTTTGGTAGCATTTTTATCTTCCTTTATTAAAATAATTCAAAACAAATCTTAAAGTAATTAAATATTTTTTTCTCTTACCTGCTTTGCTAGCGGCTGCGGTATCATTTTGTGATATTTCCAAGTAATTTGATATTTTTGTTTGAAACACTGAATAAGAATTAATTACTCCAAAGAGAACGCCACTACTAAAAAAAGAAGCTAACATAATAAGCCAAGCTCTTGGACCCCCATCGGGTGCGGTGCGCTCTCGACCCTTTTCATCGTCCGTGATAACGTTGCAATTCAGAGCAATTTCCTTTCCCTTTTCGTTTTCCATCTTAACCTAACAAGGCACTGCGGAAAAACAATGTGGCGTTTCAATTCACGATGCACGCGGTAAAGTGTGCTACGACGGCGACAAAGGCAAATCAGAATAATTATCGTCGACTATCATCGCGATGGCTACGATTTGCACTGCTGTCTTTAGTTTTCTAACACAGCTAGCCATGCTCGGCTTGCTTTCAAACGCGTTCAATAACCATGCATATCAAAAGTAGACAATTTTACCAGACTGCTGGAGTAGTAACAACGATAATATCGTGAAAGATCTAAATTTGTACACTAGAATTTTACTGAAATGCACCAGCGATTGGAAGACAAGTTAAGCTTCTGCTATAAGAATCACAAATCTCACTAGTTGCTGAACATCAAGTCAATAATTCAACTTACTTTGTTGGTAGATCTATGCATGTTTTAATAAACAGTTCAACTACGCCACGCCTCATGATATGCGTTATCAATCTTATCAACGCTACCTAATGGCCTTGCTGAAATCGGAAAGTAGGTATCCTGTTCTATTTTTCACTAAATCATCCACGCATTCGTAGTTTTTTACTCTTTTCAGTGTTTAAAATTTATGCTAAATTTGATTCTAATTCTTACAAATATTGGCGCGATAAATACATAAAACAATGTGAAATTCACTGGTTATTCAAACAGCTCCTGCTTATGAAACGCGGCTATCGAACCTTCTATTCCCTCTTCTAATGATACAACAAGACATGGGGTTAACCAGGCGATATTATTTGGCGCAGGGGTTGCGTTAAGCGTTGAATTGATTACCACCGTTAGGCTAACGATTACTTTATATTTCCCTTTATAAAATTGTATATTTAAATATAAAGCTGGTGCAATTCTTTATATTTTATTTTTACTTCGAATTTTCGAGCATTAAGAGCCTATAACTGTGAGGCTATTAACACTGTTGGTACAAACAAAGAACTGACCAAAAATAAATTTTAAAAAATCAATACATATGCTAGTTGAACTTTAAATTTAAATAGTTAACATAATAAAGCAGCATTTTAATTCACAGCAACAATAAGGCATTCTATGTATCATGCATAATATGTTAAGCTTAAATGTAATTTAATTAACAGAAAAAATATTTTCACTGAACAAATTTGTATGAAATCCAATCAACCATTAGCAAACTCATGACGAGAATACTATGCCAATGACCAATGATGCTATTTTCAAGGTTACTATGACAAGATTAAATAATAGCGTTAGTACTATGTAAATTTTTATTAACTATTGGATAAGTCAATGTGCAATACTTATAGTTAATGTATATAGGGAAAACATTATATTTAAAACATTAATGAAATCAATTATTAAATCCGAAACTGGTAGATAGTGCGTAATAGAATTGTGTTACTTCGAATACAATAATAAAATTAAAGGAAGTACAAAAGAAATAAAAAATATTTTTGAATTATTGAAATGAAGTTATTATGGTTGCCTAAACAACTTGAGTTTGAATTTACTAGTCGACGTTGCCAAAAGCAACCAAAATAACGTTAATAATGAAGCCGCAGTAAGCAGTTTTGTTTAAAATTAATGGTATAAATGTAAAATGACAATAAACTATGATAGCATATTTTATGTTTAGATATGATCTCGTAATATATTGAAATTAAGTTTGTCTAAAACGTAAACATTATTCAAATCGTATACAATTTATAATACAGACATTATGATATGACCCTGATGCAAAATTTTGACGTTTCTAAATTTATAAGGTTATGTTTCTATTGTTATGTTATTTAACAGCTGTGGACAAAACATATTGTTGTTATTTAATTTTCATATATTAATTAATTATTAGGTTGACTGTTCAATTCTGAAGGTTTTTGTGTAATACTGAATAATGGCAGATTGGGAAGAAATTAAACGTTTGGCGGCTGATTTTCAGAAAGTTCAGTTGAGTACTTCTTCACAAAGGTATTTATTATTAGTGCAAGAAGATTCTTATAAGTAATAACATATAAACCACTTGGGATTTTTAGATTATCAGAAAGAAACTGTATAGAAATAGTGTCGTGGTTAATAAGGAGTAAAAAGATAGATCTTATATTTACAACTGATGGAAAAGAATACTTGACTTCTTCTCAATTAATACAAGATATTAAGTCAGAACTATATGTTAATGGTGGTAGAGTTAATTTAGTAGAGCTAGCTAAATCAATAGGAGTTGATTTAAGTCATATCACAGCTTATGTGCCTGATGTAATTAAAAGTCAAAGAAATGTACATTCTGTACTTGGACAGTTGATCGATGGATCCTATATTTTAAAAATAGCAGGAGAAATTAATGAAAAGCTTCAACAGTTGGGTCAAATAAATGTATCTGATCTGACAATACAATATGATCTTCCATCAGACTTTTTGCAAAGTCAAGTTTTGGGAAAACATCTTGGAAAAATTATTCATGGAAAACAGGATAAAAATGACCCTAAAGTTTATTTTACTGAATCATTTATTGCAAGGAGTGTTGCTAAAATTAGAGGAGCTCTAAATGGCCTTACTCAACCTACTTCTGTTTCTGCCATATTAAATCAAATTGATATACATGAAAAATTATTTTTTACATTATTTGAGCAAAGTTGTCCAATGGGTTTTCTGACAAATAAGTTACCAGGAGCTCAGTACATACCCAATATATATTCTAAAAGCCAGGTATCATTTCTGACTTATTTAATATTTTATAAAATTTAAACAAAATAACACTTTCATTTAAAATTCAAATAGTAAACTTTATTAGTTGTGAATACTGTTCTTATATTTCAGAATGAATGGGTCAGCAATTTTTATAAACAAAACGGTTACTTGGAATATGATGCGTTAACAAGGCTTGGCATATCTGATTACAAAACCTATTTGAAAAATAAGATTTCTCATGAGGAAGTAATTTATTTGAAGACATGCGTGGTTTCAAAAAATATTTTGGAGCGTATAGAAGCTGACATAGACGAATGTATTTCAAGCAAGTCATACTTAGATATTCAAAATAATCTTCCTTCAGTATTTTCTGAAAAAGATATTGAAATGATACTCGATTCAGTCTTAACATCTCATAAGCAAAAACAAGTGCTAGTAATGGATGAATTTATTGTAAGCAAGGCATTTGTTGATTCTCTTATAGAATTATGTCAAAAGCTTCTCAAAGAAAAAGCAAAACATTTTGTAGATTCAGAAAAGTATATAGCATATAAAACAGATATTTTATTGTCTGCAAGTAAACAACAAAAAGCAAAATTTGAGGTAGAAGATATTAAAGCTGACAGTAAACGAGAAGAACGACGGAAAAAAGCATCAGGGGGTAAATCCGGAGGTGGAACGCAAGGTCGTGAAACTAAAACTAAGTCCACAAAGAAATTTAGTCGTTCTTCCAAGCTTTCATACGATTCTGACGAACCAGAAGATAAGAAAAAACCAGAAATTGTTAATTATAACGAAATACAAAAAATTGTTCAACGAAGACTCGAGGAAGAAGGTCTAGAAAACCTAATTGATCCTTTAGTCTCTTATATGTTACCTATTGTTAATGAAAAAGCTTATGAGATTGCAGAAAACATTTATACAGCTTTGGTTGCTGACAGAAATGTCCATAAACGCAAATCGCACAACGAAGTTCAAGAAAAAATTAATGTCTTAGTAAATGATATTCGTCTTTTTGAAAAGGGTCTTAAATTATTTCCCACAGATGCTCAAAATAACCTTACGAAATATCTTCTTAAATCCCACTGCACAGAGGTGATCAACGAAGTTTTGGCTTATGTTGCAGCTGAACATAATTTAAACATGTTAAACGTTTCTACACACGAACAAAGAGTCAAATTCGTTAGCGAACTTCCTAGTGATTATAAGTCTTCCCTAACGAACCTTTTGAAAACTGTAACGGGACAAAGTGTAGAAGATTTTTTGAACAATTTAGATGAAGTACTAGGGTCTTGCAGCATGATTTTGAAGAAAGTTGACAAAAAGAAAGATAGAATTTTAGTTTTGAATCATAAACATGCGTTGGAAGAAGCACTGGAGACTTGTGAAGATCCTGCAGAAGTTTTACTTCTAGCAGTGCAACTTATTTTCGTAGGAGCTTCACAAAATATGTTGCATGCTAGCGGAAGACACGTTTCTGCAGTTTTGCAGTTCCTCAAGCAACATTTAACTCCCGAGCAGAGCAAAGAGCTAAGTGCTTACTGTGGTTAGTGGAAAAAATTAACTATCAGTTATTGTTGGCTAAATTTAATGTATTTTTACAGATTTAGTAACATTGGTACTCAACAAAAGTTCAGAAACTGAAACAGTTCTTGAACAGCTAAGAAATAAGATGACCACGATAAAGGCTATTGCATTGGGATACAAAAAGACAAGTGAAAAGTAGATTATAAATAAAGTGCAACATCTTAAGGATAATTCGGTTTTGTAAGTAAATAAGTGCTAATTTATGAAGTGTAATGCACAGAATCTTTTGTTGATTTGTTACATAAATAATTTAATAAAGGCAAAAGGAAATACAAATACCACAAAAATATTTTTTGTTTTTCTAATTGTAGAATATACTCTTTGGTATGTAAGGAAGGTGAAGATTGACTAGTCTTTGGACTGATGGCTATATTATATTAATCCACAAACATTAAAATTTAAATTATAAATACAGTTTAAACAAGATCGACTTAATTCATATTAAAATAGTTTTTAAAAGGAAATATTTAATAAGTCGTTTTGTTTCTACAACAAAGTAATAGTTAAATATAAATGCATTTAATCCTATAGTAAGATACGTTTGATTCATAGGACAATTTTACTTTTTCTTAGTTCTTTAATATGCTATTGACTAAACAGTAGAAGAATCCTGCACATAATAAGAGGGTTTCATTTGTCTTTTGTCTTTCAATTGTCAATTTAGCAGATATCAGTATGGTCTGGATCTATTATTATACTGAGAATAACCCCCTTTTCTGGGTCCAGAACTCCAATTATCAGGTGGTGTGATTGCAATGTCCATATAGTCGCCAATTGATGATCTTGCTTGAGCAAGGGTTTTTAAATCATCAGGACCTTTCTGACCAGATGTAGTACTACCAATTTCTCTCATTCTATATATTGGTGCACGCATATCTGGATAAATAAGGGCAAAACTAAATTTTGTACCTTTACGTCTAGCTTCTGGGTTTACTTCTTTAACTAAAAGGGCCAGTTCATTCAAGGTAGCATCTTTCCAAGTGTAGATTTGTAGTTCATTGGTTGGCACATTTCCTTTGTTGTAATCAGTGATTTTGTGATGATAACCAGTTGTAGATAAGAAAACACGTAGAAGAAACGGACACACCTGAAAAACTACATTTTCAGGACCACAATAGGTTAATAACAACCTTTTTCTTACCCTCTGCCTATCGACTGCGTCTTCTTTCTTTTCTTCTATTACTACGTCAACTGCGGCCATTCTATTTAATTTGTAATTGCTAAAAAAACTATATAAAACACTATTGCTCAAGTAATTCACTTAATAAAGTTAACTTGATCGTTACTTTTATGTTAACGAATAAACTCAATTCGGCGAACTTCACTAAAAATGAGGTTATGATAAGATACACAAACATACACGAGATTGTGGTTAAAGACACAGCCAAGACACAACATACCGTCACCGTCATCTTATTTATAAAATACTGAGGAGATACCGAATTGTAAAAGTTAATGTTACATACTTGATGTTCCATTTCTTAATGCAGCAATACAAGCTTTTTATATATTTCAAAGATACAGCAAATGCTGTTGGAAAATTTTATTGGAGATAATATTTACATAAGATACATTTATACAAAGAAACACACTACAATATTAAAGAGTAATGTTTTTGCTACTAGTATCACAACTATATTTTTTTCTGCAGGAATTAAAATGTAGATTTTTGTTAGAACATTAAGAATGTTAAGACAGATAACAATAAACACGAATAATTATTTTTAAATCGTATTTCCCGAAACGTTCATCTCNGTTCTCGACGGCTGTAGGTTCTGTACCATTTCCCTTATCATTTTCGTTTAAGAAATTGCGTATTATAATTGTGAAAATTTTAACATGGGATCTCAGTATTTTTGTACACAAAAACATTTTTGGGTTTAATTGGTATATTTTCACATAAGAACAGGTAATTATATATAATTTAACAATAGATACAGTGATTCTTATTTACGAAGAGAAAACAACAAAAAATTATGAATAATCCTTCATATTTTTTGTTGCTTCCTTAAAATAGTAGATCATTTAGCGTTACCCGGGATGCACCACGTGGAGGCGATCTACATTACACCCCAATTAGTTACCATATTGTATGGTTGAAAATTAAAGTAAGTAAATAATTGTCCAACGTTCGAACACACAAACATTAGCAAATATTGATGTTGATACCGTTATGAGAGACCTAAATACATAATCAAATAATCCTCGCTACATAGATAATCATGTGTGTTGGCACTTCGTAAAGTTGGCTAACAGGGAAAGCTTACTTTTGTGCCTTTTATTGTACAATATCAATATTCTCATAAATTCAAACACACTACAATATTAAAGAGTAATGTTTTTGCTACTAGTATCACAACTATATTTTTTTCTGCAGGAATTAAAATGTAGATTTTTGTTAGAACATTAAGAATGTTAAGACAGATAACAATAAACACGAATAATTATTTTTAAATCGTATTTCCCGAAACGTTCATCTCGTGAATACAACAATAACTTTTATAAGTATTAAGCATTTCAAAAAATATATGTGCCTACATATAAAAATACATATTCTGTTACTTTTTACAATACGTACACTTATCGCAAAACAACGCATTGTACAATAAAACAGAATACAAAAAAAAAGATGAAAATGTCATGTTATTGGAATTACTAAATAGTAAAATTCGTTATTTATTGCGGAACCAAATATCGTTTTGATTTGCACAATAAAAATTTTCCAAAATTATATCATAAAAGAGCACCAGTTGCATTTTATGATATGCCTGTATTAATTTGAAAATATATAGGTACGTGCAATATTAATCGTTTTATGAAATGCCTAGACATTTTATAAAACACACAACTTGTCTATGAAGATAACAAAAAAAAAAAGAAATATCACAGTAACAAAAAACTACACATTCAAAGTTCATAAAAAGGTAGTTCATAAAAAAATCGACGTGGAAATCACAACTCATTTGTTATGAGAATAATAACAATAATTAATTAGAACAATGCTTTTTATTTTCGTAATTATTTCGATAATTAGGTGCAGGTAGATTGATTATTAAGTATCATGTGAAAAGTGAAGACACCAAATAGTGCATTTAAATGAAATAGTCGAATGTTATTAACGAGAATGAAAGCAGACATTATTTATCGTTAATAACATTGAATTTACGTCCAATTCCATTTTTCCGTACCTTTCTTGTATTGCTGGGATTCCCCGCATTTGAGCAAAATCTATATTTTATGTTCGGTGTTAAAATTAAAAGTAAAGGGTATCGTTTTGAACTACCTATGATGTGAAAATTAAAAAAAAATTTCTGTATGTACACATTTACTAATTTTGTTGAAATTAATAAATACCTATTTACATGAATTTTGGTTTTGTTCATTGCTTAATTTTAGTTGATTTTCAGGCATCCCCAGTTAATCTGCTATTTTCTTCGTATGAAATGTTTTTTTTATAAATACAATTCTTTGGGGAAAAACAGAATTGGGCTGTAATTTTAAAAATTTCAAAAATAATTTTGAAAAGACTAACATTAAAAAATAACTCAAAAAATAAATTTAGTATAATGAAAACTAAGTAGTATTTTCCATAAACAACTTTTAAATGATATGTAGTAAATTAAACACCCTGCAGAAATAAAGATCCAACTTATTCAAATAATATGCATCACTATTTCCTAAACACAGTTAGCTGTTTTGGGGACAACTGGTATGGATAATTTTCATTTTGGGGTTGATGGCAGAAGATTCTGGTGGTGCTAATGCTGTATGAACAATTATGCCAGGTTGGCCTGGACTAGGGGGATGTAATTCATGGGAGGAACCCGGATTTAAATTTGCTAAAGCAGCAATGAGGTCATGGTTTATAATGGGTTCACCTTCAGGTCTGGGTTCCCAATCTAATGGAGGTGAAGCAGGAGGTGAAATAAGATATTGTTTGAAAGGGGCAGGTGGCTGAAGAGTACAATTTTTAACAGGGGTAACTGGCTGAGCAAAATAACAAGTTATAACAGAATCATTAATTTTATATTGATGCAGTTGAATACGGGCATTTGTGGCAGCGACAGGAGTCTTAAAATTAACTCGTAGTCTTCTAAAACTAGGCAACCATTGAAAAGTAACTTCTTCATCAAATTTACGAAACAAATCTTCAAGTTCCTTCTTTTTATCTAAATAAATTAAACAAAAAACTAGACGGAAAGATTTAAGGGCAGTTTAAAAGAAACCAATTTATGTCACGATTGATTTTTAACAGAAATAAAAGGCGTCTTACCTTGGCACTTAAAGACACTGCTGTGAATATTTGTAACTATTAAGGAGGAAGGTAAATCACCAAATTCATCACTGGAATCTTCTTTAGAGGAATCGTAATCGGTTTCCGGAAGAAGGTTTGGGTGAACATTCGGTAAACCATCCTGATCGTTAATTATAATGTTTTCATCGTTTAAATCGTCGTTGCATTCAGCCATTTATGCTGAATTACTGATTTGTTTTAAGGAATATTTCGCTTTTCGGTTTTTGTGATAATTTGTTAATTTTTTTGCTTTGAAGTTTATAAATGTCAAAGAATCACCACAATTCATTTGACAGGAGATGTTCATAGAAAAGGGTGATGTCAAAGGTCATATTCTATGATATGGCAGACAAACAAAAATAGTTTCACTGTTAATTTCATAGAACTGTAGTTTATTTAAACTATTTATTTTTTTATCGTATAATTTTATATGGAAAAAAATACTAAAATACGAGTTATACCTATTTTATTTTATTTTACTGTATATTGGGTAGAAAGGTCATTACACAGCTATTGAACATCAATCTATGTTTAGTTAGGCACTCCGGAGAACACTGCTGTTTATTTAGTTGCCTGGTCATATTCGAAAATTGTAGACTTTGCAGATTAATAACTGGGATATATGAATTCATAATATTGTAAATAATAAACAAAATTGTTTGAATAAGAAAATAAATCTCATAAAGTTGAAGCTTTAGCTTTATGCGAAAATAATTAATTTGAAATATTTTGCAGCAAAAAAGGGCATTCGTTTAATGATGAACCACTAAAAAAATTATTAAATAGTAATAATTTTAAATTAATAAATAATTAATAGTTTAACTTATATTAGGAACAATTTGAATTAATGTTATGTTTTTTTTTGGATTGTGAATGTATTGTAATATGAGCATTATACTCCAATTTCACGATCTTTGAACTTTAATTCTCAATGTGAAAAACAATCTTGTGTGTTTTATATTACCCAAACCGTACAAAAGTTATATACAAATATGTGATAACGTAACTACAAACTGATAAATGATATAAATAATTATGTGTGTTTTCTTGTTAGTAGAAAATATGCGGCAGAAGTTATACAATGAAGTACTAAAATTTTGATTTTCAAATAAAATATTAAAGATGATTTTCATTTCGTTCGTTTTAATAATAGAAGTTCTTTTTATCACAAATGGTAGGAACTTTATAACTTTAAAACACGGTTACGTATACTTTCAAAAATCTTAACCCTTTTGATAGGTGTGGCTACCGATTATCCCGAAATTGAAACAGAATTGGGGAAAATACGGGGAACGTATGGGGTAAGTGTTCAGGGACGTACATATTCAGCATTCCAGGGCGTCCCGTATGCAGAACCGCCGATAGGAAAATATAGACTTGTGGTAAGTATTGTTTATAACATTTATTAAATAAACAATTGTGTACATTTTGTTACAACGTAGGAAGCGCAACCGGTAAAACCATGGAATGGTGTTTGGGTAGCAAATACAACTCATAAATGTTTGCAATTTGACCATTTTTCAAAAGCTGAAGACACATACAATGTAGTAGGTAATAAAAAGAATTTTTAATGTTACCCAAAAAACTTTGCATTTTTTTAAGTGTCGTTTCCAGATGTTATGATAAAAATCAATGCCAAGTTAAGGGTAACAAATATTATAGCAAATGGTACCGACGATTCGTTTTTTGGTATAAGACTTCTTCAGGGTGCAAGTTAATGATTTTTTTATACTGTAAAACATCATAAATATGTAAATTACAAGTAAACTTAGACATTCGCCTTTGCATTTATTTGTGATTTAGTTACAACGTTTCGATTTCCACTAGACATCCGCGAACTTGACGACTGGACTGGAAGACATAACACGGTCTAAACTATGTAACTCAGTCATAAATAGGCATGGAAGGGCGAAACTCTAAGTTTACTTCTAACACTGCAACTTTTAAACAAACCTATAAATACAAAAAAAAAACAACAAAAATAATGTTCTCCAACGCGAATGATCAATTATCGTATCATTGTGCCCTTGGTACTATCATTAGTAGTCTAGACCAGGGATGCGAACTAATGGCACGCGACACAATATTTTGGGCAAGTCACTAATATTTCTGTGATTGATTCTTTAATCAAGGAATTTTTAGAGAGATTTTCTCAATTCAGAGAATTATCAGAAACACTCAAGTTTACTATGTACTCTGATATGACGTTATTTGATAAACTGAATTTGTCACAATTCCGTTTGTTAAAAATTGAAGAATTTGAAGTGCAGCTGATTGATTTACAGTCTAGTTCAATATGGATTCAAAAATTTTTTGAAACAATGAAAGATTTAGAAATAATTGAAACAGAAAGATTGACAGGTAATACAAGTGAAAATGCTAATAACAAAATTTTGGAAACATGGAATGCGTTAGCAAACACATTTAATTATTTGAATAAGCTGGCTTATGCTATTTTAACAATGTTTTCATCAACCTCTATGCCTGCGAGTCATCATTTACAAAGATGAATAACATTAAAAACTCGGTTAGAAACCGTTTGACAGATGACTTCAGTTGAGCATGCATTCTGCTAAAATTAACATCTTACAACCCTAACATAAGTTATTTGTCATCTAATCTGCAACAACAGAACTTACACTAATTTTACTTTAATTTAAATTACAGGTATAATTTAAACATTGCAAAATGTTCCTATTTTTCTGTAGTAAATAAAGAATTTTGAGTTGATATTATTTATTATTATTATTTTCCCAATAATTACAGAGACAAAATTATTTCATGGCACGTCTATGACCTGATTAAACTTCTCTTAATAAAAATGGCACTAGAATACGTAAAGGTTCGCCATCCTTGGTCTAGACTATATGCGTAAAACGAATCATTAACTTGCAATCGACTCTGAAGAAGTCTTGTGTCAAAAAGGCGAAACATTTTAGTAATATTTGATAAGAATATGTATTACACATACCCAGAATAATTGAATTTAAATATTAAAAGACTTTTACTACCTAATCATCTAATTAAATTAAAAATGCAGGGGACGAAGACTGCCTTTATCTAAACATATACGTCCCAAAAGTGGATAAAAATGAGGGTCTTGATGTGATAGTTGTAATTCACGGTGGTGCATTTATGTTTGGGAATGGTCAAAGTTTTGGGCCAGAAGTAATAATGGATAAAAATGTCGTTTACGTCAATTTGAATTATAGATTAGGAATATTGGGTAAGGATACGAGGAAACGCGGTCTTGGAAGTTATAAAGGAGCATTTTAGGATTTTTAAGTACCGAAGATAATATAATTCCTGGTAACTTCGGCCTAAAGGATCAATTACTGGCTTTGAAATGGATTAAGAAGCATATAGAAGCATTTGGAGGAAATCCAGAATCTATAACGATATCCGGGATGTCCGCAGGAGGAGCCAGTGTTCATATTCATTACCTTTCTCCACTGTCAGAAGGTTAAACATAAAATTTAGGAACCAAATCTAAACTACATCCCTAATAATTTGGGTTTCTTGAAGGTTTATTTAACAGGGGCATTTCACAGAGTGGGACTGCCTTAAATCCATGGGTTTTGGTAGAAAACTCTCGCGAAAAAGCTGAAGTATTGGCTAGTCATCTCGGATGCTCGTTTATTTCATCAGAAGAAATTTTGGAATGTCTAAGACAGAGATCTGCTCGCCAGATTGTTGCATTAACAAGGCACTTTATAGTATTTACATAAAATTAATGAAATTCTTGCTTGTATAATTTTGAAAAAAAAAATGTTATAGGCTTGGTATTATAATCCCTTTTCGCCATTTGGAGTAGTCGTGGACAAATGGTCAAAGAATCCTATTCTGCCAGAACACCCCTTAATACTACTCAAAAATAGAAAACTTAGAAACATTCCATGGATCTTTTCCATGGTGGAATCGGAAGGCCTATATCCAGCTGCCGGTGTGACGAATATAAATACTGGGTATGAGTTAAAAAAACTATTAAAAAAATGGGCTTTCAGAATTCCTTCAATATCCCAATTCACTGAAGGAATTGAATGAAAATTGGGAAACTTTACTGCCTTTTCTGTTGGATTTTAATCATACTGTGGATTTAAAGGAGCAGAATTCAGTTGTTCAAAAAATTCGTGATCATTATTTCAACGGTAAAAGTGCTTCAAGGGAAACATTTGTAAACGTTTTAAAAGTAAGTCCTTAATACTAGCTCATTTCAATTTTCATAATTAGTTTTGTATAAATTGACATTGTAGATGATCGGAGATAGATTGTTTGCAGTTGACATTGAAGAATCGGCAAAATTACAGGCTGCTGGAAGTGATGGTTCAGTATATTTCTATTATTTCTCTTATAGAGGAGTGCACAGTCGATCAGAGATTTTAGCAAAGCGCAACGAAAATTATGGTATGTAAAGTGTTGTTTATTGTTTCAGACAGGCGATTCATGGCACAGTCCTGAAGAAATATGTTTAGGTAATAGAATCAAATTGATGGTAAAAATTTTAACTTGGCTTAGCTCATGGTGAAACATTCTTCAAATAATTTTAAAATTTCAAAATAGTGAAACAAAACCAAGTGCTTTTATTTCATGAATTATTTTATAGAATCAAATCAAAAATAGCGGTTTGATGGTAAAAATTTTAATAAACAGTTGAATCAAAAGCGTTTGATCGTCTTTATTTTTGATTTGATTAATTTAAGACGTTTGTAAATATTTGATAGGGTAAAAGGAAGTGATGTTTGCTGGTGACGTGTTATTGTTCGGGTACTTGAGATCGTTAGGATGAGGTTTTGAATAGTTTTTGTTCCGTGATATTTTTCTGATGATGTTAATTATTTGCGTCTGCGAAACATCTAGGAATAATAATTTTTAAGATCATGGGGGCGGTATTTTTGTACACAAAAACATTTTTGGGTTTAATTGGTATATTTTCACATAAGAACAGGTAATTATATATAATTTAACAATAGATACAGTGATTCTTATTTACGAAGAGAAAACAACAAAAAATTATGAATAATCCTTCATATTTTTTGTTGCTTCCTTAAAATAGTAGATCATTTAGCGTTACCCGGGATGCACCACGTGGAGGCGATCTACATTACACCCCAATTAGTTACCATATTGTATGGTTGAAAATTAAAGTAAGTAAATAATTGTCCAACGTTCGAACACACAAACATTAGCAAATATTGATGTTGATACCGTTATGAGAGACCTAAATACATAATCAAATAATCCTCGCTACATAGATAATCATGTGTGTTGGCACTTCGTAAAGTTGGCTAACAGGGAAAGCTTACTTTTGTGCCTTTTATTGTACAATATCAATATTCTCATAAATTCCAAATCAAAACCCACTGAGGGGTAAATGTTTTTTTATTTAACTTGAATTATCATCCTCCAATTTTCCACCCTTACAAATAGTAAATTTTTTCAAATTTAAACGGGACCACCCTTAAGATATAACCTTTCAAATCAAAAAGAATCATCAAAATCGTTTCATAACTGGCGAAAAGATCGCGTAACACACACAGGAAAAGGAGAAGTGGGCATATAAAGCAGAGGATAGCGCAGGGTCGTGTCGCCTTTAATAAAAACAAGTCACTTCTATGCTCGTGAACGGTTAATTTGGAAATTCGAAAAAGGTTGTTAAAGGTGTATGTTTGGAGCGCGGCGCTGCACAGGTGCGAAACATGGACAGTGGGCGCGGCGGAAAAGAAAAGGTTAGAAACTTTCGAAATGTGGTGTTATAGGCGGATGATGAGGATAACGTGAACAGAAAAGGTTAGAAATGAAAAGGTTTTAGAAAGAATAGGAGAACAGAGGACTCTATGGAAGTCAATAAAAAATAGGCGAGATAGGTTGGTAGGACACCTTCTTAGGCATGAAGGTCTAGTCAGAGACATATTAGAGGCAGAAACAGGAGTTAGGAGGGGTAGATGTGGACCTAGATTAGATTACTGTTCGCAAATAGTTAAAGATGTGGGTTGTTCTAGTTTTAAGCCGTTTAGATAGAGAACGCCCTGGTTCTGATTTAAACTTAGGCTTTCTATTTAATTTTGCTGATTTTAAAAGAATTGGTAGATATTTTGTATAGATGAATTGTATTTCTATTTTAAAATTGAATCTGACATTGAAGTTCAAGTTGTAGATCTGATGAAACTACTGTTCCTACAATTTTTTATAATTTCTTTGGTGACGATGACGCTGAAATTCTCGTAAAACTGAAAGAGCACGAAAATCCAAAATTCATCAGCAGTTTTCGAGTTCTAAATTAACAAATGTCGTTCTGATGACTTTCATAATTATTGTTTTTAATAATTTCATTTATTGTGGTAAACTTTTTATAGATTGTTTTAGGAGCTGGACATCTGGACGATACTCTTTACGTTTTAACCACCTTTATGCAGAAGGATGCAACAGAATCAGAGAGAAAGATGACTGAAATTATGAAAAATATTTGGACCACATTTGCCCACAATGGGTAAGATAAATTACACGTTAGTCCTTTCGTAATAATTATTAAAGATTTAAAATTGTTAATTTGNTTTCATTTATTGTGGTAAACTTTTTATAGATTGTTTTAGGAGCTGGACATCTGGACGATACTCTTTACGTTTTAACCACCTTTATGCAGAAGGATGCAACAGAATCAGAGAGAAAGATGACTGAAATTATGAAAAATATTTGGACCACATTTGCCCACAATGGGTAAGATAAATTACACGTTAGTCCTTTCGTAATAATTATTAAAGATTTAAAATTGTTAATTTGTTGTTAAGTTTATTATATATTTCATTTTTGTTTTAAAGAAAGCCACTAGTGAAAGGAGTTGATTGGTTGCCAGTTTCAAAAAGAGAAGACGATCCCATACAGTATCTTGACATTAGATCCCCCAATGATATAAAGATGAATAGCAGCGAAGATTTAGGAAATAGAAAATTTTGGAATTCTTTACCTTTCAAAGAAAATTTGAGATTATTTCACGAAAGAGACGAACTATAATTATCTAGGAGATTTACTGTGAGATATATATTGTGAACACTTATTTTTTTCTGTAATGTATGTAATAAATAAATATTTGCATAGAACGAAAATGGTTCGGTAATGTTTGTTTACCGAAAGTAACTACATACTTTTGATTAGATAAGAAGAAGGTTAATGGCTTTTCGATGCGATTTATAATTATGCCAAATGGTGATCTAAGGTCTAAGCGTCTAGGAATAACCATATCATGAATTTTAGATTATTTTACGAAATTTAGTGACTAATGACATACTTTCGAAATTCATATGTGCTAGCGAGACTTGCGCCCGATGAATTTATTTTTATTGAAGTGAAACTTCTTTATCGGGGTATAAAATCGAAAAGTTTAACGTTACGCGTCACGTCACGCGCCACGTGTGACACCTGGTGGATATGTCCAAAAGGAATCATTTTAACAAACTTCAGAAGCTACCCTGCTCATAGTAGCCGATAATATGTATTTCATATGCGTTTGTGTTTGTTTTGTAATTTCTCTTTGCAGCGTAAAAGTTTTTAACTACATTTAACCAATATTTTAAATTTAGATTTTTAAAAAACCACTTGTGTTAAAGGCCCTCGTCGGTTGTAGTTGCTTTCTAACGTTTAGCTAGCACGAGTGGTTACCTTTTTCAGATGGAAGGACGCCTGAAAAAGAATCTACAATGATAGACTCAATTTTTTCTGGAATGCACCGATTTCATTTTAGATCCAAAAAATTTTCTTACCCTATAAATTCTTAAATAAACAACTGATCCGTTTAACAGCTTTTGACGTTCTCGACGGCTGTAGGTTCTGTACCATTTCCCTTATCATTTTCGTTTAAGAAATTGCGTATTATAATTGTGAAAATTTTAACATGGGATCTCATTTAATTTGACTGACCTACTAGTAGAAAACTAGGACCAAACTCCCTTTTGTTTCTGTCGCTGTTTCGTACTGATCTAATGTTAGCATCGTTTCTTCTGAAGAGCTTCCTTTGAGGTACGAGGTGGTTAGGCGTTAGGCATCCAAACAATGGGATGCTAAAGGACTCTCCGTTCATATGGGGTTTGATTAATTGTATGCTCAAGCCCATACAATGATGGTAATAATAAATACAGTTCTTCCTTTGAGGTACGAGGTGGTTAGGCGTTAGGCATCCAAACAATGGGATGCTAAAGGACTCTCCGTTCATATGGGGTTTGATTAATTGTATGCTCAAGCCCATACAATGATGGTAATAATAAATATAGTTAACTTGATATTATTGCCATAATATTTCTGTTGGAAACAAATAAAATGGGATTAGAAATATAAGCCTCACGACGCACAAGACTTAACAATAAGAAGATTATCTAATTACGAATTTTTTAATTCATTAATTCCATAGTGAGAGAATTACTTAAGTTTTTAAATGAAAGTCATGAGTACGTTATTCCAGAGATGGGATGGTGCAATTTTAAACTGACCGCCGTCTGTTTGTAATGAAGCTTCTTCAGTGACTCCTTTAAGTAAACAATTGGAATTCATTATCCTTTTAGTATTTACAAACTTTATATTTAAGGATCTTAGACAATACATTCGAATAACGTTGTTGATGGTTGTAATAAGGAAGAAGTTGCCTTTCTGATATATTATTTAAAGATATTATATCTTTAAACCAATTTGTTTTCATTTAGTTAAATGCATAAAAGTATTCAATATGATAAGGCTATTTTACTGTATTGTGTCGATAAGGTAAATTAAGAAACTAAAACCATTTGTAGAAGTGCTTTTGACGTTTAAAGTTTGTTTAGACTATTTGGAGAGTTAATGTACATTGTACATGTATATATTTAGTAATATGTTATATTTACTTGTGTTTATTCTTTTAGCTTGTTGCAAGAGCGGTAAAAAAGAATTTCATAAAATAATTTAAATTTTATTGAAACCGATTTTTGTAAAGGTAGGGGAGAATTTCCGGAAGTAAATACTGATTTGGGAAAAATTAGGGGCAGCTACAGGGTAAGCGTATTGGGAAGAAAGTATGCAGCTTTTGAGGGGATTCCTTATGCGGAACCACCAATTCAAGAATACAGATTTGAGGTAAGCACGAGAAAGACTTTTTAATATTTCATCTCAATTGAAGACTATTTTCTTGAGGACTGGACCTAGTGCTACAAAATTTTAGGGGCAAAAAATTTTAGAGATGAGAAATATTTCACCATTTGGACTTCTTATTTTCCCACATTTAAAAACGTTTTCGTTTATCGTACGTCTTACTCGCTCACGTTCAAAAGTGTCGCGCTATCGATCCACCTGGCATACATTTATAACAATATGTAATGTATGCATGTTTAAACATGTTATTTTTTAAGTAGATCTTTGATATCTCGAAGATTTTTAAAATAATTGAGCGACTTTAAAAGATTTTCTAATGCTTGAAATTGGAAAAGCTTCTTGACATGTCACAAATATACCTAGGTACTTTATCATCATCATCATGATCATAAGGTCATCAGTCATAAGACTGGTTGGACACCCACCTTCACTCTTTCCTATCCTGAGCTAATCTTCGCATTTCCCTAAAACTAGAACATCCGCATCCTTAACTATTTGCGGACAGTAATCTAATCTAGGTCTACCTCTACCCCTCCTAACTCCTGTTTCTGCCTCTAATATGTCTCTGGCTAGACATTCATGCCTGAGAAGGCGTCCTACCAAACTATCTCGCCCATTTTTTATTGACTTCCATACAGTCCTCTGTTCTCCTATTCATTCTAATACCTCTTCATTTCTAACCTTCTGTATCCACGGTATCCTCATCATTCGCCGGTAACATCACATTTCGAACGCTTCTAACCTTTCCTTTTCCGCAACGTCCACCGTCCATGTTTCGCACCCGTACAGCGCTCCAAATATACATCTTTAACAATCTTTTTCGAATTTCTAAATTAACCGTTTGCGAGCATAGAAGTGACTTCTTTTTATTGAAGGCGACTCGACCCTGCGTTATCTTCTGCTTTATATCCCTACTACTCTTTCCGTTCTGACTTATCTGACTTCCTACATACCTAAAATCAGCCACTTTTTCTAATCTTTCGTCATAAAGAATAAAAAACAATTAGTTAAGAAAAAGTGACGTGACGTGTGCTTTAGGTTCATATTTGTCTGCTATTACATAATAATGTAAATGCAATTCATTGCTGTAGGGATGAAAGTAGGTCGTAATCGTAAAATATTTGTAACATTTTAAAACTAGTTTTTTGTACAAATTGTTTAAATACAACTATTCGTGTATAATACTGATATATCTACTCGTGTAATAGTTACATATAATAATTTAAATACTTCTGAGTTCAGGAGCCTCAAGAAAAAAGGCCATGGCAAGGAATATGGATTGCAAATAATACATACACATGTCTACAATTACATCACGCTAAAATAGATGACAATTACAAAATTGAGGGTACGTTAAATCGCAAAATTAGGCCTTTACTTTTGCAATTGTGAGTGTTAAAAATTGGACCAAAAATGCAACTTAAAAAATGAAATATTTAAGAAAGCTATTATCAGATTTTGTAAAAGAAATTGTATTTTTTTTAATGTATTTTTGAGCTCTGGTTGTCTCTGGAAATCAAAAATCAGAGCTCAAAAATACATTTAAAAGATAATGGCCGCGAGGGCCTGCACATATTTATTGTATTTTGTTTATCATCTGCTATACTTTAATTGCTTCAGATCAATTAATTTGTAACACTTATTAGGTAGATACTAACTTTCTGAATGCATTCGAATTCTAGGTCAAGAAGATTGTCTTTATATTAATATTTACTCACCACAAATAAAAAGAAAAGATCTAGATGTGATTGTATTTATACATGGGGGTGCGTTTATGTTTGGTAATGGACATTTTTATGAACCTGATATTCTCATGGACAAAGACGTGGTGTATGTAAGTCTCAATTATAGGGTTGGAATTTTAGGTGAGAAAATTCGAAACAACTGTATGAGCACATATTGGAGCGATTTCAAACACGTAAAAATATTTTAATGATGTAGGTTTTCTGAGCACGGAAGATAGTGTAATACCAGGAAATTTTGGCTTAAAGGATCAATTAATGGCCTTAAAATGGATACAAAAATATATAAGTGCGTTTGGGGGAAATACCGATTCAGTTACCATAACAGGAATGTCTGCAGGAGGAGCTAGTGTTCATATTCATTATTTATCACCACTTTCAGAAGGTTTGTACCTAATTATATTAAAGTTATTCTGTTAGGTAATGCTTTGGATAGGGCTCTTTCATAAAGGATACTCTCAAAGTGGCACGGCATTAAATCCCTGGGTTTTGGTGGAGAATTCTCTTGAAAAAGCAAAACTAGCGGCCCATTATTTGGGATGTCCATCTGGTTCGTCCGTGGAAATATTAGAATGCTTGAGACAGAGGCCCGGATTACAAATTGTAGAAACAACACGAAAATTTTTTGTAAGTTAGTACCTGATGAAATTTTATGCACTTTCGCCACCCATTTGCTTGAATTACATTCTGATGGCAGACGTTTTTGATTAAAGGAAACTTGATCAAAAATATGAAAGCATGTATTTTTGAAGTGAAACTTCTTTACGCACGGTAGGGTAAGTTCGTTTCATGCGAGTTGCTATGTAACGAAATCATGCAACGCATTTCCCTCGCTGTCTGTCCCCATGTATGCTTAGATCTTTAAAACTACCCAACGGATTTTAATATGTTTTTTTTAATAGATAGAGTAATTCAAGAGGAAGGTTTATATGTATAATACATGCATAATATAGTAGGGAAGCACTGATAATTTTAGAGGTTTGTAATGTATGTCGTAAATAAACACATTTTTTTGCGCTTACATTGCAAACGCTGGCAGAACCCTACGAGATAGATCAAAGTAATATACGACAGTATTGTACACCTTAAAAAGGTCTACAAAAAAGTCCGCGATGGTATATGTCTATCTCTTAGGGATAACCCACAATAACCATTTTTTTATCCTTTACTTTTTACGAGAATTAATGGCTTATTTACGAAGCGATTAATTCTTATCCAATTAAGTACTTTTAAATACATTGTGCATTTAATATAGATCAATATGGCCCTTTACAGCATGTAATTTAAATAAATATTTTCGACGATATTGCAGACTTAAAATGCAGGGACATAGCGGTTGCGGCGGTACCGGCCGGTTTGTATTGTCTAATGACAAAAAAGCTGTGATTGTTTTATATAAAGACATTTTATAGTATATTTACTATCGGCATTGCACCCGTGCGAAGTAAAGTGTACAAATAATACCATTGAACCAATTCCTTAGCCCCTTTCCCGGTATGTTTTAAGAAGTTTCACTTCAGTAGCGTGTTGTATAATTACACGTTGTATTTTTTAAGCATACAAATCCTTATACATATTTTCAAAATCGATGTAAATGTAGATTATATTAGTATATGGTCTTAATTTCAACTTTGCTAACAGGAAGTGTATTTGGTATGATTGATACCTTAGTATACTTATGTAAAAAAGTGTTTTGTAGTCGTGGCTCTACAACCCATTTTCACCATTTGGAGTAGTAGTTGATAAATGGTCAAAAAATCCGATACTCCCGGACCATCCAATAAAAATACTTGAAAGCGGAAAAGTAAAAAATTTACCGTGGATATTCTCGATGACGGAATCAGAAGGACTTTATCCCGCTGCAGGTTATTTAGTGAATTTAGATTAAAAATTAATTAAATCTTGTGAAAATAACTGCGATTTTAGAATTCGTATCTAACTCTCGTTTCTTGCAAGAAATACAAGAGCAGTGGGACACATTGCTACCTCACATCCTTGATTTCAATCATACCCTTTGTTCGGAAAAATTAAATCCAGTGGCACAAGAAATTCGGGATTACTATTTTAAGGATAAACCAATATCAGAAAATTCGTTTTCGACATTAGTGAAGGTATTATAAATGATAAATGAGATAAAAAGTATAATGATCGTTAACGCAGTTGATAGGAGATAGACTATTTGTAGTCGATATAGAAACAGCAGCTAAATTGCAGGCATCTAGAAGTTCATCACCTGTCTACTTCTACTACTTTACATACATTGGAACACACAGTTTATCAGATTTTTTATCCGGAAATACTGAAAATTATGGTGAGATAATATAAAAAATGTATTGTGTAGTTCGTCGGTTTAACAAATTAACTTTTAAGAAGAAAACCATTTATTTACACTAATTAATATTGAACTTAAAAACAATATTAAATTTAGGTAATTATTCTATTTATTTACACTACTGTTACTATTCACTGTTCTATTTATTTCACTTCTATCACTGTCAATTTATTTCCTTATTCACTTCTGCAAAGTTCAATTTATTTCTACTCCTCTCGGCGATCGTCCCTTCCTTTAAATACTCCCTTGCTTCCTTTCGGGAACTTTCTTGAGCCGTCCAGAGAAGTCTCGTTTTCTTTGAACGGTTTAATTGCTTTCTCGGAACGCTGGTACGACACACACGTTTACAGCTACGGCGCACCTGAAGAAAAGCGCCCGCGGCTAGTCGGCGAATCGATAAGCCGCTCACACACACGTATGCCCGATCGCACACAATCACGCTCGTGGTGGCTACAGTATACTTAAAATCAGGCTCCTTCCGAAGTATTCCGTTTGGGGGGGGGGCGGGGTACAACCGATTAAACAAATGTTGTACTTTAATTTTCCAGTTAATGTTTTACACACACGCACAAAAATATGTATTTATAAATAACAATATTAAATCAGTTTAATTTCATTTCACTACAGGTTACCTCAAGTAAATGAGGAAAAATTTTTTGTTGCTGCTGTCACACCCTCGCCGGGAATCGAACCCGAAAGATATTCTTAATACAGTCGGTTAATATTACTAGCTTACTCGAATTCTCCTGTGTTCAAGTTTCGTCTACAAATTCACCATATTGTTGACTTTTTAGAAAGAAATCTCAATACCATAAATAACGCGGATCAAGCAGTGAAATGTAATATTTTTGTGTGTATGTTTATCTATATTAAGTTGTTCAAAAAAAATGTATAGGAAAGATAAGTTATCCAGGATTACTCGCGCGAAAAATTGTAATTAAAAAAATTTAGAGTCTCAATCATTTTATACAGAAGGTTGCCCCTTATAAAGCATATAAAATAAGAAAGGAAGAACTTCTTGACAAATATTAAAGCAATGAAATATAATTGCTATTGTTGTAATCTGCAAATAACATTTTTATATATGTATAAAAAGCTGTTAATTGTTATTGATCAACATTCTTCAACACAAATTTATGAGTTTCATTTTTCCACGTAGGTGCAAGTCATGGAGACGATACATTGTATGTTTTAAGAACCCACATGCAAAAGAATTGTACCGAGGAAGATATAAAAATGGCGAGCCTAATGAGAGACCTCTGGTCTTCATTCGCTCATATAGGGTAGGAGTATGTGATGCTTTACGCACAATCCTTCGTTTTTAAAATTTTATATTTCAGCATTCCTCATATAAATGATGTAATTTGGCAACCGATTTCTCGGAATAAAGCCCATCCACTCAAATACTTACACATTGGGTCACCATCGAGACTTCAAATGGCCGCTAACGATAATTTAGGAAATAAGGAATTCTGGGACTCCCTGCCGTACAAAGAAAATTATAAATTGTTCAATCAAAAAGATGAACTTTAAATGAGTTCTGTCTGGTCGTAAATATTAAAGGTTAACTTTTTAATGTGTATTAACTTAATAACAACTAATATGGCAACACTGGTAGTAACTTCTACGTCATAATTACCTGGTACCTATCCAAAAAATATATACATATAATAGAAATAAGAAATTATATGAATGTTAAAAAAATAACACATTGTATTTTGTTTTATTGTACAAAAGAAACTTAACACAAAACTAGATCTTAAATTTACTCTATTACAGTCTATAGATTTACAACAATCGGCATTTGTACAATAGTGACTTCAAGAAAACCGGATTGATTTGGATTGTACTTTTGTACATTTATGAATACATTGGATGCATTTTGACTAATTATACACGAGTGGCACCTTAAAGAGTATTTAACTTGAAATTTAAAAACAATATGATTTGCATTTTCAAAAATTAAATACCTTGGGATAACTGGAAAAATTCGCTTATGATAATTTTCGCCAGAACTATGACAAAAGAATCATCAAGGTTCTAATCAATCATCACAAGCGAATTTTGGCTTTTCCTGAATTTGAAAATGAATCATTCATTCATTGGCAGGTCTCCTCGGATTGTTTCTTTTACGTATTTGTACAATTCGTTGAAACAAGAAATGATTTGCTATCACTTAAATTATGAGGCACGTTCGTACGAATAATTTTGTAAATATGTAGAAAAATGATCTAATAGTTTAGCCTATGATTTGTACTGTGGCCTAAATTGTGGTCTAGGACCTTGCAAGTTGTTTTCCGCACGAGGTCTTGGAATGTTCTGAGGTTGATTCAAATCCAGATCCAATTCTTCTTCTTCGGGTTCATCACATTTGTTACCAGCTTCATAAGTGTATTCTCTTCTTTCACCTTCAGGGTCTACGTAACCATATTTACCCCTGATGATGCAATCAATGCCAATATTTTCTTCTTTGAACGTACCGTCATCATTTTCGAAGCCCCAGGTGATGCTTCCATCTTCGTTATCAGTTCTGTATTTTCTCAGGATTTGAACTTGCGGTTTGCGACGTCTATTAAGTTCTTCCTCTTCATCAATCGGAGCATTCTTCGGGCGTTGGTATTGTTCTCGGACAGCTTGTTGGCGAATCTAAAAATTTTTAATAAACAATAAAAATGGTAAATACTATAAATGGCGCGGTAAACGCCATCTGTAGCACGATGCTACGTTTTAGGATTACGTATGCTCCAACAAGGTCCACTTGTGCGGATATCTACTTGCTGAAAACGAATCCCGGCGTAGCCAACCTCAACGTGATAGGCACGTTAGCTTAATCGAATAAAATAATTCGAAGTGGTCTGTATTCTGTCGAAACTGCAAGACGTGGATCGCGATTTCGATCTTTTTGGATCTCATCAGCGCGTCGCAGGCAGCTCCGACAGAACACAGAACTTTTACCTGCTGTCTTAACAATGCGTTTTAGAAAATACTACAAATGGCGCAGTAAACGCCATCTGTAGCACGATGCTACATTACAATAGAATACAGACCACTTCGAATTATTTTATTTTAATAAAAATGGTCTTAGGGTGTCTGAAGTCCAAATTTCTTTTACCAAAAACTGGCGTAATATTATGGGTTCTGTAAGAAAATACCTGAAAAAATGATTTTTGATGATGATTTTGAAAGTGTAAATAAGATCTGCATTGATATATCAATGACCATTTCTACAATCATCTTTGCGTTGCAGAATATTACCGGCAAGTGCTTTGTTCTAGTTTAACCGGCAAAAATAGAATTATTTTTGTTATTCGGAGAAGGTAACTTGTTGAAGGTTATTTTAAGATAGCCGGAAAGCATGGTCAGAGTTTGTTGTATAGCTGGGCGTGTATTTCTTTTGATTCGAGGTGAAATTACAATAGTAAAATGTTTATGTTGTGCTGTAAAACATGCTCCAATTTATCCGACTCTTGTTAATAGAAAGTTACCATCTGAATCACGTTCCTATGTAACAGTAACAATTGGCAATTTAAATCAATGTACAGGGCGTGCCCCTTCAATTGTTTTTACAGGATGTTTAGACCAAGATTCTCCGTTTTGTAATTTAGATCTTTCCGGTTATTAAAATTGTTTGGTACAATTAATTATGGAAAATTATGCTGTTAATTAATGATGAAATGAAGGATTGTTAATGTGCAGATTATTTTCATTAATTAATTAATTGTAAAAATTGAGATTCGTACTGGTGGGGATGGTCTTGCAATAGGTCTTGGAGCTTCTTGCCTAATAGGCTGTTGAGGTCTTTGGATGGGCTCTCTAACATTATCTCGGGTTACTGGTAGCGGCCTTTCTGGTCTAAAAGCCAGTGGTCTTTGAGGTTCTATTCTTTCTTCCTGTTCTTGTTCATTTTCTTGTGTTTGCCTGATAGAGTTGAGGGCGGAGGAAGTCAAGCGTGCAACTTCTTCATCTAAAATCGAACCTCGTGGCTCATCAACTTCCTCTCGTTCTTCAAAAACAGGTCGTACTTCCCTTTGGGGAGGAGGAAGTGCATTAGGGATGGCTTTCCTTCTGAAGGGAATGGGGGCGGCGTTTTGCAGTTGTGCTTGAATTCTTCTCGGTCTAGGACCATCTACCAAAACTGCTCCGGGAATGGAGAGTCTAGGAGGGCCTTGGGAACTAATTTGGGTAGGTAATACGGCTACCTGTAATAAATTAATAATATTAACGATTCCACATGAAAAGTTCACATTCACATTCCCACGATGATGATGATGATGATGATGGCAATTGACTATACTGATTTAAAGCATTTCATGACAAATCAAATTTTTCATATTAGAATAAATTTGTTTTATAAAGAAGAGGTAGACCTATGCATTTACAAAACAAAGTGCAAAAATATTTTATTTAATTATTAATATTGAATGTTGTTATACAATGTGGCTAGAGTGCTAGAGATACAGGAACTTCGGAACAAATTGGTTTAAACCATTAAATGTTGTTAAAGAAATACAAGTATAAATATTACATAATAAAATTTTTACAATAACTGCATTACAAGACTACAATGAATTTTATATTGAAATTTTGCAGATTTATGTTATTGACGGCTGAAAACGAGAATCTTTAATTATTTTTTTATTTCTAGAAGACATTGGTAACTTTTATTAGAGTTACAAAATTAAATCCATTTTTTCGTTTACAATCATTTTGATATTATTTTACGGCAAAAAAATTATCAAAAACAATGCAATATCTTGTCAGCATACCCGAGTGATTAGAGTTGCACAGGAAACATAAGACAAACATTGAAACGTTCAAACAGTCCGGAATTTTCAAAATTAAATGTTATAATTAGTTTTGAATTACTAATTATGATTTCAGATTTCAAAACCTGGATTTTTTTAAATATTAATGTTTTACTATTGCCTTTGTCTCTATATTGCGTATGCTTAATTATTTATAAATAACTCCTGCACGGTGGTAGTAACTTTTACTGAACATTATTACATAATGATTAATTAAAATTAAATAAACATGATAAAATTCAGTATTAATATCCAGTACCTGACGCAGCGAGCTTTTCTTGTAATTTATGACGAATTTTTAATGATCTTTTAAATATGTTTCAGATTGACCATTATACTAAAAAAACAAGATAACCTTTTCAAATCGAATTCTACTCTATTATACCATATGAATTTCATCAAAATTGTAGGAGCAGTTTTCCAATATTTATTTACATATTAAAAAGCTTGTAAATATAATGTCTGTTAGACTTCCGGTTTAGGATTTATTTATTAGTTAGCGATTTATTAACTACATTAAATTTTGAGAGTTTGGCTCGTGATATGGTATTACTTGCTCTGCGAAGCATACAAAATGGATTACTTTCGTACTAATAAGAGCAGTCATATACTAAGGAGTTACGTATGTACAAGTTGGTGAAAGTTTACAAGGTTTGTATCAGAAATACTAAGCAAATTGGTAATAACATGCGTATTGATATGTAAAAAACGTATTAATTTGAGTTAGTAACATATTTAACTCTAGTTCGACTGAATATTACATATTATACAGCATTTATTAATGGAAACATTATTAGGTAAAATATATATCATAAGCATCTGCTTAGATTTTAAATGATGGTAAAAAACCGACAAAAATATCGTTTTATTTTATCATAATTTTGAATCAAAAATTAACTAATTTAATAGGTTGCGAAAGGACATTTTGAGTAAGACGTTCCTGTCCTAATGAAGATGGTTGCGAGCGAATGCCGCAAGTGATCGATACTGACGGCGCTATTGATGTACCTTTAAGCTACTCGCTGCAGGCGATAAATTACATAGAGGGTGGGGCTAGCACAACAAAAAAAACTTACGAGAAGTTTCAGGAAATAAACAAGAATAGTCCGTGACCGTATAAATAAGTGACCAGAATTAGACGGGATACAGTAAATTTGCAGTGATATAAATAATGGTTTGTTAGATAAATAACTATAGATATTAAATAAATTACTTGTAGATATCGAGACTTATACGAATAAATAGACATACTGGAATATTCGTTACGATATTTTTGTTGAACGAAAATTTAATAAATTTTGCCATAATTAAGTAAAGAGAAAAATACCTAACAAAGAAAATTTCTCACCGGGTTTCAAATGATAAATTTATGATGAAAATCTGCCTGTTGTCTATAATAGAAGTGATGAGATTGCAAAATCAGAATACATATAATAGAGAAATTTTAAAAATGGAATGCATTTATGCATGTTTTAATCTTCGCCAAAGTTCATGACCCACAATTCGAGAATTTGCATTATACATTGTGAAAGTCATTGCCTTTAAAATATCAGACGGTCATTCTGAATGAAAGTAAGATAATGAATTTATAGGTTTCTACCTCAATAAAAATAAGAATTTCGTAATAATACCAGTTGTTACGACTGTAGCACAACTACTTATGTATTTTACAAACTGCTGTAGGTCAAACATAAGTTGTTACGGTAAAACAAAAAAAAAATAATATGCGCCGAAATATGAAGAATTTTAAAATCTTTCTAAAATCCGAACAATCAGTCTTTAACAGTTACAATATTGACGCTTGCTATAGGTATTGTTATAAGGGTTTCAAGTAACTAGATATATAACGAACGAAATGCGTGGTTTTCGAGGCAGATGTTCGTAGGATGGAACATACCTACGGTGTCTGTCAAATAATTTAGGTTAGGTTTGCACAACAATAATTAATTATGAAAACATTCTCCTTGTCGCACAAAGATTAATTTAATTCACGAAAACGATTATGATATTAATTTTTTGTTTAGTTAATTCTTCTAGGCAAAATTGTGAAATATTTTTAATATAAAAACATATAGCTACGTTAATCTTAAAATTTTGTCCTTCGAATGTAATTGATACGATCGAATACGTAATAAGAATAGGTATCTATCCTCTAATCGAATAACATTTTGATAATATATTAGCTATGAATCTTGAGTAATTATAAACGATAGCGTTTCTGCATGATTGTAGATGCAGTTACTTCCGCATTGATAGTTCTTGTTTTCGTGGTGGTGTAACAAACGTATTTGCATGTTTAAAATAATTAGTAGGTACCTAGATCAGTATCGATTACAATGCGTAACTTAGACAAGCCGGAATTCTTTTCGGTATTGATAACACGATATATTTCAACTTTCTTATAATAAGTACCTGTACAAAGAAGGTATACGTGTATACATAAATATATAATGCCTTTTGAACCATGTCAGTCGCCATGGTGTTTAGTGTTGCAATTCCGAATCACAAGGCGTTACTTTTCTGAGAAACATACATATACATATACATAGGTATGACATAACATAGGCGCTGCAACTTCATAACGCCTGATGTAAAGAATAGAGCAATTAATATTTATCACGTCCTTACATAATGTTAGAAATATTTTAGTGATGGTAATTAGATAATTAGTAAGAGGGCTGACTAGCGATATATGTATGTATGCACGTATTTGTATTTGCTATCGTTATCAGTAAATGTGACATTGAATGTTCACTTTTCGTTTTTTTTTTGACCTTACGCTAATGATTCCGATCTGTTGATTAATTAGAATACCTGATGAACACACAGTACCATGCGGCTGTAGTAGTAACAAAATTTTCCTCATTAATTTGAGGTAACTCATAATGGATAAAAATTGAAAATGAATTTAATTTAATATTAATCACTAAGAATTTCAATGTGTTTCAAATAGTATTTAATATACGAGGGTGGATTGATAAGTTTCCGGCCTAACCAAGAGATGACGCCACTAGGCCTACCTTGAGGTGACATTCTATAGTACCATCCTTGGATAGCTTGTAGCTATAGTTTCAGCCCGATCTCCTTGCTAGTGTAGGTTTGACAGCACGCTGAACAAGACGCCTCTGTGGTTTTCGTAAAAATGGAAAAGCAGGAAAATCGTGCTGTCATCAAATACTTTTATTTGAAGGGGTTAACGCCGAAGGAAATTAAAAAAGAGATGGACTCAACACTGGGGACATCCTCCCCGTCATATTCAACCGTTAAGCAGTGGGTTTCCGAGTTTAAAAAGGGTCGTGTGAGCACCTCTGATGGGCCTCGCTCAGGACGCCCCGTTGAGGTCACAACTCCAGATATGATCGAAAAAATTCATCAAATAGTGCTGGGAGACCGCAGATTGAAAGTGCGTGAGATAGCTGAGACCTGTAAGATGTCATATGAACGTGTGCAACATATTTTGCACCAACATTTGCATATGGAAAAGCTCTGTGCAAGATGGGTGCCGCGTTTGCTAACAGTCGACCAAAAATTGATTCGAAAAAACATTTCTACCGCAAATTTGTCATTGTATAAGCGTAATCCAAGCGAATTTTTGCGTCGATTCGTAACCGTTGACGAAACGTGGGTCCACCACTACACTCCTGAAACCAAAGAACAGTCTAAACAGTGGATTGGACCAGGGGAACCAACTCCAAAGAAGGCAAAAACAATTTTTTCGGCGAACAAGGTTATGGCTACTGTTTTTTGGGATGCAAGAGGTATTATATACATTGATTACCTTGCAAAGGGTAATACTATCACTGGTCAATACTACGCAGACTTATTGCAACGTTTGAGCCACGAGGTGAAAATTAAACGACCTCATCTGGCGAAGAAAAAAATCTTGTTTCATCACGATAACGCACCAGCGCACACGTCAATCGTTGCGACGGCTAAAATCAACGATCTAAAGTTTGAATTGATGCCGCACCCTCCTTACTCTCCAGACCTAGCCCCGAGTGACTATTTTCTGTTCCCTAATCTCAAAAAATGGCTTGGCGGTAAGAGATTTGCGGACAATGAAGAAGTAATCGAAGCTGTAAATGGTTATTTTGAGGAGCTTGACGAATCAGTCTATAGAGATGGCATTAATAGACTGGAACACCGCTATGAGAAATGTATCAGCCTTGGAGAGATTATGTTGAGAAATAAAAAAAAAAAAATTTTTAAAAACCTTGTTTTTCTTGGTCAGGCCGGAAACTTATCAATCCACCCTCGTATATATATATATATATGACTTAAACATTACTTAAGTACTGAAATAAAGAGATTTGACCCTGAATTCCATTTCTTATTCTTACCAATGAAAGTCAGGAAGATTTTACACTACACTTCATTAAAAAAAATAACAGTCTTCATTTTCAATGAAAAAGAAGATGAAAAAACTCGAGTGACGCGGTTTAACAGAGAATTCCGCCAGTAGTTGTTTTTGGATTCGCCCCTGCAGCTATAGTCCTGATTTAGTGACAAAACCATGCTCCCTTTTTCGGAAATTTGTAGTGTTAAAGAACCCATTTACGAAAATAAAAAATACAATTTTATAATGACATAGAAATTGATTAACTTTTAACATATCTACCAAACTGTTTTAACTACATAATAAAGAGAAGATAACCTTCAAGGTAAGTATAATTAATTAACGTTATCCTTTCAGACGTAACTGAGTTACTTCTTTCCTTATTTCATTAGAAACAGACCAGACATTCGTAATTGTTAACAACAAGAAACACAAATAATCTCTGAAATGTTATTGTTACTTTATTTTCAACTATTAAAACGCCATACTTTATCATTTGTTTCAAAATACTAGGTACACTTAATTTCGAATGAGTGACCTGTATATTTCAGCCATTGTTTGGTCGTGAATTGAACCGACTTGAATCAAGACATTAATAAATAATAAAAATCCTTGAAGATGTCTTATCAATATATAGAGACATCAGAAGAATCAAACATATTTTCTTATCATAAGAGGGCTTCCTTTATTATTGTGATACAAATCCACAAATTTGGTATTTATTTTGAGCGCAATTGGACTAACATCACTTCAACAACAACATTCAACACCAAGAACGAAATAGAAGTTAATCCGAGATTGCTGGGCCAATTAGATGGAAATATGACCTTAAAATTGGGCCATCCTGTTTGAAATTTAGGATTTATAATCTTTGAGTGCAAAAATGACTTTTTGTATATTATTTCCGATGTTTAGGTGACGTTGTAGCTGTTGAGAATTTTATTAACGAAAGCTAATAAGTTGTCGTAATATACAACTCTTCATTTGTTTTCAGTTTTTGAAGATTCAATCTGTTTTTATCTGGGATAACATCGATTCAAATTTGTGCGGTTCACATGGAGCCATCCTGTATTTTCAGTTGACAATAATTATGACTATTCTAAATAAAAATGTCTTGATTTACTACAGAAACTCAATAATATAATAAGGATTACTAAATTATTGAAGTCTTAACGAAAGTATGTTTAGTTTTCTACTTTTAATGATCAATTGAAGGTACAAGATTGCATTGAATATTTCTCAGTTAAAGTTACAGAAAAAATCTTGTTTTGATATTTAAAATCGAAAATTGAATGAGAAAAATTGTATTTTTACTATTAATAGATACATATATACGTTAAGTATTATCCAATTCTATCCTATTTGTTGTTTACGAGCACATTTCGTTGTTCTAAAGGTAATTCTATTGTAGAAAGTAGAAGTTGATTGATGTAATTAACAAAAAAGACATTAATTTGTTATGACATTCTTATGATAAATATACATCATGTGACCTTGAAATACCGTAATAGGATAAGTAATTTCCTTGATTTATGCTGCTTACTTTCACACATTCTCGTTCGAAATTGGTAATATTACGGAATTAATTTTTGCTACAATATTGTGTTGTAACAGACAGATAACTTTAAATAAATTGTACATAAGTATATGATACAATACAGTACATTTTTTTTACAAAACTATAGAAAAATGGATTCATATTTTATATACATGTAGAATAATGTTTTCTTGATAACACCAGTTAGATGCTCACCACATTTTTTACTTTTCTGTTTTTATTAATTAACATTTCGCAGTTTAGGTATTTTTCTAGAGCCGATTTAAAAGGAAGTAATGAGTAAAAGAAACTTTTTACATAAATGGACCCAACTGTAAGTATTTAAGTTTAGTTTTGGAAAACAAATATCCAAATTCTAGATAGATAAACTATTACAATTAATGTACAATAGATATTGGCAGATAAAGTCTGCAGATTTTTTTATGCAATTATGATGCTGATCGTCATGTTTAAGTAGCAATTTAAGACATTCTTCACAAGTATTTTTATTTTATTGTAAGGGTTGATCTTTATCAAACGCATGTATCAGTTTGAGATTTAATAATCTGATAGATTTATGTAGAATGAATACTTTACAA